CCAATTTTCAATCGCATTTCGAAAGTTTCTCTTTCCAGCTCGGCTCTCAAACAAACCAGAAATATGTGTTTCGTACACGTTTCCACGATAATGGTCTGGCATGGGGCCCGCGGGCAGGTTCCCGTTCTCTGGCTCCATGTGGGTTTGACCTAGAAATGCGTTTCCACCCACTCCCACTCCCACTCACACACACAGAGACAGACGCATAAACATAGCTCACACGTATGTGAGAGGATAACTTCGGGATGGGATGCTTTCGAACTCGAACTCGTTTCGCTTGGTCTGAGGCACATGCGCAGTGGGGGAAGGCGGCTCATTCAGTCGGACTCCCTCAGCGGGTAATGGTTATTTTTTGTATGGGCATGCCACCCCCTTAAAAAGCGCACATAGCCATACATCCTCCCCTGTAGCAGTATATGTGTGTGTTTGTGTGTGTGTCCCCAAGGATATCGCGTAATAATTTTCATTAAACATGGCGCAAGCCTTTGCCTGGGCCCCGCACATAACTTCCCAACTTGGCCCCCCCTACCACCTTCCCACCCCTTATTCCTCAACAGCCGCAGCCGCATCCGCATGAAATAAAGACAATTTATTGTGGCCGATACGCACTACCGAGCATACTGATACATGCATATGCGTATTCCTCATATACCAACATATCTAACTACATATGTACATACATATACACATGTCTGTAGTTAAATATGTGTGTATTTCACACGCTTTCAGTGTAATTTTCTGCCCGGCTTCGCCTTTTCCGCTGCTCTGCCTCAACGTCAAAAACTTTGACAGAAATGGAGCGGCAGCCACGCACAGGATGCGCCGGCACCGCTCACAGAAACAGAAACAGACACAGGAGCAGCAGCAGCAGCAGCAGCAGTCAGTTCTTTCAGTCCAAGCTCCAAGTATGCAACTTATTCACAATGCATCAACCACATCCTTATACACACACACATACTCCTAAATGGAAAACGGAGTGGGAGAACCCAAAAATTATCTTCTGGAGAGCAAGTCAAATGAGATGTTCATTCATATTCATATAATGAATATTACTCGTTCAGATCATACTTGAACACATATTCAATACAAAAGATTAGGTTCCCCTCACCAAGACTTTATTCGTGGCTTTACCTTTTTATACCCGATACTCAGAGAGCATGGGATATACATATGTATGTATTATTTATAATAGTACATATGATAAAGATATATCGGAGTAATATTTAATCATCTGATAAATAGGATAACCTACCAGAGAAGCATACGGAAAAGTCTTCGAAAATCTTTCTTTGAATTTTCGTAGTAAATAAAATAAATAAAATAAAATTTTCCGTGAACATGTTATTAAATTTGAGCAGCTGGAAAAGGTATTAATCATATTTTCCAACTAGCAGATCGATCTTTTTCGAAGATCTAAAGCGTTCACGGTTAAAACTATGAAGAATGTGTCTGCCGAAACTATCGAAATACAAGAGCATTCTGTCTGCCAAATGCATTTTCTAACTAAATAGGGTTTTCGTCGATAGATGTGTGACATATATTTAAAAAAAATGGGTTTTGGGTATGATTCAAATTATAATATTAATAAATTCGCTCGAATAAAATGTACCCTATCTACCTTATATAGTACTCTCTGTACATATTGGAACCATCCAATTCCGTTCATTGGGTCAACGTTCGCTCTCAGGCACGCACATATGTATACCAATCGAAGCGTCCATGTTTCGTAAGGATATCGGGAGGAAAGGAATGAGACGGCATAATAGTTAAAATAAAAATAAAACCATGTGCAGCGTGTGGATACGTCAGGCGGCAACCGTCAGGCAGAGGGAAAGCATTGTTGAAAAGTGAAAGTTTTATAGTTGGCGCACGTTCATAAAGTTTTGCGTGTTATACAAAAGATTTATTATATCGCATATATCGCTAGCTCCTGCCGCTCTTTTTTCCATTTGCACAACACAACCGTCACACCCCTCGGACCGCCTCCATTGCTACTCCTGTTTCCCCCCTTCCGTTCTGTTTGCTTTTTGCCTTTTTATGTTTGGCCTGGCTTTTTGGTTTTGTTTGGCTCACAACAGCGGGAGAAGAACAGCAGAGGTAGCATGCGAACAGGGTGCTGGGTGCACGGAGCACTGAACAGTGAACAGAGGAGCTATATGGCCTTGGGAGTTTTCGTAATGAAATTAATGTGCCTGTGAAAATTTCAACAGGCCGCGTACAAAACTTTTTAACAGCCAAAGATGTTTATGTGTGTGTGTGATTCTGTCTATACATGTTACAATTTTGATATGTTGTAAGCAGACCACATGCCATATTTATGTTTTTACATATATGTACATATATTGACAGTCTTTCGGCATCCAACAAACTCAAATAATGGAGGAGATGCATAAAACAGCTCTTTTAACAATCAAACCATTAGATTGATTGGCTTAAAATATACAGTTGCTTATCTCAATCGTCGAATTGTCCAACAAATATCGACGGAACCTTGAATTTAATTTGTTTCGCAACTATTGAATCATTCTGCATACAATATGCATTAGTTTGGAATAACCAAAAATAAATTATGCTCTATTTATGAATACTTCCAAAACTAAAAACACCCAAATCAGAGCAATTTTTGTTAATAATGTTTTATTTCAATCGATCTTAATCCTTTAAGCGACTATCAGAGGCATCTGGGATATACTATTTCTCAACAAATTTCAAAGATTACGACTACTTTCCATTCAACATTGATAGAATCATGCCCCAAAACAAGACTGAAACCCTTATTAAGTCATACTCTTAAAGGTATGTAAATCCTTTGTGCGGTTTCAAGATTTTGGTGGACAAGTCAAGTGGGAATGCATTCCAAATACTGCAGGAACATCAATTAGTCGGGCTGCTGCTTTGTAGGGTAGGGCAACAAGATGCAAATATTTGAAGGACGAACCTGAACCAGAGCCAGAGCCAGAAAACCGAAGAATAAAAGGATAATAAAGATTGCGTTGCCAGAACTTTTATATACACTCACAAACTCTCTCTATGTATATACTCATGTATGTACAATGTACATATATTTATGTGGGTAAACAGCTTAAAAAGCTGCAGTGGCTGGACACCAGGGATGCGGAGCGGGGTCAAAGGTTACGAGGTATTGGTCAAGCCTTGAGATTTAACGCAGCTGCGTAAGCTGCGTGGCTGTAGTACACGTTAAGCCGTTATTATGTGCCATGTATATGTGTGTATGGATGTTTGTGTGTGCGTGTGTGTGTATGTGTGGGGGAGCGTGCGTAGTAGTAAATAGTAAAACGGCATAGCATACTTTTTTGGGCGCGCAAACAGAAGCTTACATTGTATACTCCCATATTGGCAAAAACACACACACAAACACACTCTCACGCGCACTGAGAATTCTGAAAATTTAATTAACTTTGATTCCTATTAAACCATTATTCAATTTATGAGAATTTCACGAAAATCTCTTGTTTTTCTGATTTTGTTTTGCCCATTTTATTGTGCAATCAACGACAATATAATGAGAGCCAGCAGAGAGTTCTCCCCAACTCTCTCCCGTCTCTCTCGCTCTCTCCCCAACTCTCTCTTGCTCCAGCGCTCTCCCACTTACTTGATGCTCCTCTGCGCGCCAAATTCGCAATTTCGAAGCCGAGTACGAAAAACTTGACCAAAAACAAAATCCTTAAACGCAACGCCTTTAGCGGAATGGGTGTCAGGGGGTATGTGCAGCGAGGCGCAGCGAGAGCCCCACAAGGATATGCCGACAATCCACACACACACAAACACACACACGCGCAAGCTACGAGAGTTTTTACTACGCGACCGAGGAGGACGTGGACTTTCGAACTGCAGACCGTCGCACGAGAGGGAGTGACGATTTATATGGCTGCGCGGCTTCGTCTCTTCGGCTTTTTGGCGCTCACAAATATTGTACCACTACACACATATACATACATATACTAAATATATGTACGTATGCACGCACATGCATATATCTGTGTAGAATTTTTTCCAACTTTTGGATTTTAAGAAATTGTGGTGTACAGAGATTTTCGAATTGCTTTTGTTGATTTCCAACACATTTACTCCTCTCCTTCTCTCCGTTGCCTTGCTTTACAACACTGAAATATTGGCACAAGCGCTGCCCACTAGGTGCGAGCAAGTTTATGCCTGTTACTTTTCTCTCACTTTTCTCTCGTTGCACTTTCTGCTGAGCCACAATTAGCTCTGCTTTCGTTTTGCACGTCAAAAATTTCTTTGTATCCTCAATACTCTTTTAGGGGTTTATTTTTGTAGACGTCGCGCTTGGCTTCTGTTATTTTTCCCCTGTACTGGGTGGTTCACTTCACGTTGTATAGGCCGTGCTTTACAAAGAACGCATCCACTCTCGCCAGGCTCTCGCGCCTAACTAAACGTGCTCTTTAAGTGCTTTTACTAGGGACGCAAAACATTTTTTAAAATCGAATTATCGATCATTTTTTTATTTTATTTTATTTTTTTTGCTTTAGATATTTTTATGCGATAACAGATTTCTTTATAACTAACTGAATAGTTATTCAAAACAAATCTTAAGAGAAAATACATTTAGTATGTAATTTTCCACCATGGTGGTTAGTTATTCATACTTTTGGGCTGCCGCTATATTGTTTCATGGCGGCCAGGTTGTGTCAGATAGCGAAATTCGATAGCAGCCGATAGATCCATAGCATATTTTTTTTGCGATGTTGTGTGTTGCAGGGCTGCGTTTTGCGTTTTGCGCTCAACTCCTACAGCGTTTTCAGGCCCAACTTAAGGATATCCTTTCCAACTCGGAAAATTCACCACGTTAAAATAAAATTCGACTACATTTTCCAGTAGGGTAAGTAGGCTTTTTTGATATATAAGCCAAAAGTTATAAAACAACAATGCTAAGTTTCGAGTTTTGCGTAGGCGGGCGACTAATGTAACAGATTCAAAAACTGATACCAAATGTATTCTGTTTGAAACAAGTTTTGTTTCACTCTCTTTTCAAAGAAAAACCTGAGTCCACGCGTACAACTTTCCCACCGATTGAGCTGCTGCTGTACCCCTACTGTTACTATCGACCCTAAAAACGGTCTTGAATCCCTGGAGCTACGGGACTATTTGGAAAAGCTCCGGCGTAAGAACACTCAAGCCTATATTGGTATTGGTAAGCGCTACCAACAATATATAAAAGTATATGCATTTGTGACTAACAAATTCCATTTCCAGCCAGACTTCCCACCCATATATAAAGGTTGGGCACATCCGCATAACATATTCACAATGAGTGAGCACGCTTGCGGTAGTAATGTGGCAAAGGATGTTCTCGAAGAAAATAAGAGAAACACTGATGGGGAGAAAGCCTCTGGCACCGAAGACGAACACAACGCAGAGGAAGTTAAAGTACGAATGTCTTGCAAAACTGTTTTTGATTTAAATGAAGATTGCTGGATAGAGTTAATGGATTACCTGGACGTAGAAGACCAGGTAAGGCTCTCTTCATCGCACGTGTGTATCGGAGAGATGGTCAAGATATACGCAAGCCATCGGTACAAAAATATTGATGCATCGCTCACGGGAAGGATTGGTGACGAATATCTGAAACAATTGTTACGGATCGTTGGTGAGCATCTGGTTAGCTACGAGTCCGAATGGGATTATAGTTCCAATGGCGATCAGCACCTGGGGGTCCTGCGGAGTCACTGTACGAATCTTACACAATTGAAAATGTCCTTTCGACCGGGAAGGCGCGGATGGGACGATCTATACAAGTTGAAAAAGCTCAAATCCTTGAACGCTTATCTGGACATGGAGGATAGCCTGTGTACGGATTTTGTTTACAATCTCAAACAATTCACGTTTCTACGGAAACTGAAGTTGAATGCTACCTCATATGGCGGAAGAGGATTGCATGTTCTTGATCAACTGGAATCTCTGGATGTGTCTTCCTGTGGTGGATTCGATTCAATGAGCTTGGTGGATTGCTGCCAAACAATGAAGCAATTACGGTATCTTAAATTTGGAGGTATTAGAAACATCAGAAAGAACAGTTTCAAAAGTCTGGTGACGAGCTGGAAGCAGCTGGAATGTCTGTCTTTTCTCGTAGACGTAGTCGATTCAAAGTTTCCCTATGAGGTCGTCTGCCAGTTGCCCAAACTGCAACATTTGCAGGTGACTCATATCATTTTTATACACGACACGTTCATCGAAGGATTGGTCAACAAACAGGGTTCTCCTCTAGAAAGCGTTATCCTGGAGGGGTGGCCTGACAGATTGTTTAAGGATCAGGTTCAGCATCTTTGCAATATTTCTACACTCAGGGAACTCGAAGTATCCTGCGACACTCTTCCCTTAAAGGACTTACTAAACCTAAAGAACCTACTATACCTGCACATATACATGCCAATTACGAATGACCAACTTCTGGACCTCCTGAAAGGCCTTCCCCGCCTAAAAGTTCTCAATTTACAAGATAATGCACAACTTATAATAGACAATTCCTTTGTGAATAGTGTTCGTACGTGCTTGACCGAACAGAGACAACAGCGCGGGAAGATCACTATCTATCTCGGATATTTTCGTGCCACTATAGACGACATTTTTTATTCCAGTCCTTTGTTTGAAATCAATAAGGGTTCAATACATCCTATATTAATAAACAAAGAACTCGCTGAACGAGATTAAAACTAACAAATTCACCGATCTTTTCCAGAATAATATACCAAAATGTCTTTATGGGAGTTAAATAATGGAAAAGCAATAAATATTGCCAAAAAAAACTTTGTATTATTTGTGCTTTACTCGGCTGGCTATACGAATTGATCAAACCCGACGACTTTGCAGTATTTTAACACTTTTCTGGCAGATATTTCTCTCTTAGTGCGAAATGACAAGAATAACGGCCAGCAAAGTAACGGAGGCAAAGCACAGAGAAAAGAAGTATACTATACACCGGCAATCTTCCGATCATACAATGCGAATATTTCGTAGTCAATTCAATTCAAACTGACAAAATACACAACATTTCTACAGTTTCTACAATACGTTTGTGTCATGCTAAATTTTGTTGTTTTTATTTTGCGAATATTTCGTAGTCAATTCAATTCAAACTGACAAAATACACAACATTTCTACAATTTCTACAATACGTTTGTATCATGCTAAATTTTGTTGTTTTTATTTTGTGAATTCCTTACTGGAAATCTTTTTAATGTTTCGGATATTCAAAAATAAAAATATAGGTACTGCTTGTTTAATACCAATCAAACCTCGATATTGTTTGCATATTTTAGAATATACTGTAAAATACAAACGATCATAAAAAGCGTCTGTGAGGATTACTATGAAATAAAATGTAAAAATTCATACAATTACAGTTCCAGTGTAAGAATGTGCCGCAACGATTGATCATCTTTTACCACTATTGACTACACATTACATTTAGTGCATGCAAAGGTGAAAATCGGATCAAAATATCTTACGATTGTTGTCAACGCGTTTACCGATTTTATTATTGAACACATTCACTTGAGTCCGAATAATCGAGAAGACGTTGGAACTTTTTATTGGTGGCAGGAGGTAAACTCTGCATGAAAGTGATCATTTGCATACGCAGGCAAAACAAATTTAAAATTTCTTTACTTTAATAGTATAGATATGAAAAGCTCTACCGAAAAAGTAATCAACAGCTTCAAAAACCTACTGACATTGCATTCTACCAAGGGATGATTTATGTAACTTATAGTACAATATATTCCTACGCTTCATGTATACAATCCAAATGTTTTTCGACTAGATGTTGTTCTGGAGTTCAATCAAATGGTGGATATGAAATATATGATTGCAAATGTAGATTTTATTGAGGAAATATGACTTTACCTAAGGATTGTTCAAAACCGGTTAGTGGAGGAAAGACAATATTTTATTGCAGCTTTTGCGCCAAATTTTCCGTCGATCTCTGGAGTGTACGCGTGTATGGTGGGGCGGTCCCTGTAAATCTAATGAGTTCAATGGTTTCTTAAACCGTAGAAGAGATCATTTTATGATTGACAGAGGTGTGCTGATAGGAACTATTAACTTCAACTTAGGCATTCAATGAATCTGAAGCTGTATACGAATAACATAGAGAACATTTAACACTCATTGGGTCATAATTTTTGTAGAAAACTTAACTTCTTCGAGTATAAAATAGTGGACTTGCCAATTTACTTAATTCCCAAGAACATCACGCTTTTGCATCAACGAAAAAACAGGTGGTACCTCTCGATGATTATATTGTCGATTCAGAGAAGGCCAGGGAAGCGTTCAATTGGATATTCGACTTTCCAGAAATTCCTAGAAGTGCGATTTCAAGGCAAAGTCCTTTCTTAAATTTCATAGGCAAAAGAAATCGTTAGAATATAAAGCCGCTCTGGATTATTGTAACATGGAACAGGAACGTGTGCGTAGGCCGGCAGCTGCCGTCGGAAATTCTACCTCACCTTCATGTATTATCTCTACTGCAAATTAAAACGATTAAAAAAAAACCTCCATTAGTCACACTGATATTTGAACAATATTCGAAATGTATCGAAGGGAATTAAATCGAAGCATTGCCCGAACCATTTTCCGTGCCCGGATATGCAAGTCGTTTCACAGCTCAGCGGATGGCTCTCCAATGCGACGCCGGGGCTGGGGCTGCGCACATTGCTGGCGTAGATCTCTCGGAGCAACCACAAAGGACGCTGCTCGGGAAGTATTCTGTGGGAGATGAGAGCAGTCAGTCTTGCATTGCGGAGTAAGTGGAATAAGTAAGTGGCGCGTACCACTTGGCAAAGGAGTTGAGCGTGCCAGACCAACCGCAAAGAGCAACCGAGTGAGCAGAGCCTGGCTGTAGATGCCGCACTGGGGAATCACCAGATTGACTCTCGTACAGACTCTGGAAGTGCGGATCCACAAAGGATATCAACAGACCGCTCCTGCACCAGTTCGTTGATGCGTAGCTCTGCGGTGACCACATGGTTGTACGTTTTCACAGCCAAATCCCAAAGATTTCCATCCATTTTACACTTTTTTAAATTCAATTTATCCTTTTCTTTATTTATCCTGCATCCAGCTGATTTCTAACAGTGCTGAAAAACGGCGCACGTTTTCTGTTTTTGCTAGCTAAGTGCATACATAACATACACACATATGTATGTATGTACTTTTGAATGGATGGCGCATCTGTGTGTATCGGGGAAACTATTGGCAGCTGAATTGGCATCGAAAAAAAAGTTCTTCATAAATTGTGAAGAAAATTTCTTCAAAATTCTCTGCAAGAAATGCAGACAATTAATTTTTGTATTATCTTGTTTTTTTCTTGATTTCAAATAAATAATAAGTGGTACCCCTACTGTTACTATCGATACTATCGATGTTTCCTTACCAAATTTTGCTGAAACTATCGATAGAGCGTTTGTTTTTGAATTCGACATGTGTAATTTATTCTTCATATATTTTGAAGAAATCGCCCCTGAAATAGGAAATCTGTGACGAACAGGCAGCCTTGAGTAAGACCTGGCGCTAAAAAACTAAGTATTCTAGGATCCAGCATAAAAACCCGAAAAACTGCACTCCGACGGTAGTTCCAGTAAGAACGCACAAGCCTATATTGGTATTGGTAAGCGCTAAGAATATATTGCCGCTGCACCAAGCTAAAAATTAACTAAAACTAATCTCAGATTGCATCCAGAGCTTAAGCTGGACCGCTAGTATGACTCGGTTAGCATGCGACTCATCAACCCGTGGCTGAAGCTGCTGAAGATCACGCAATTATCCCGGCTTTGGGAGAACGAGGCAGCTGGCGTTGTCCAATCCATCGTGCACAACCATCATCGACGGTTCAGTTGAACGGCATCGATTCAACGTAGGTAATAGCCATTCCATGTATTATTTATGTGCATTTAAGAAAACAAATTCCCTTTCCGGCCAGACTTCCAATTCACTTGGTCAAAGCTTGATATATTAAGCAGAACAGAACATAGCGCAAGAAGCCAAATGAGTTATCACGTCGTGCGGTAGTAGTGTGGCAAGGGCTGTTTTCGAGGAAAATAAGGAAAGCACTGATGGGAAGAAAGCCTCTGGGAACGACGACGAACGCAATGCGGAGGAAAACAAAGTCAGAACCTCACATACAACTGTTCTCGATTTAAACGAGGATTGCTGGATAGTGCTAATGGAGTATCTGGACGTAGAAGACCAGCTAAGGCTCGCATCATCGAACGTGTGTATCGGAGAGATGGTCAAGAGATACGCAAGCCACCGCTACAAACATTGATAAAAACTCATAAAAAGAATTGGCAACGAAGATATTGGAACAGATTGCAGATTGTTAGGGAGCATAGCTAATCTATGAAGAATATGGGCGATGCGCAACTGGTGCTTTTGCGGAGACACTGTACGAATATAGAATATTTTAAAAATGAGATTTGAGCAGCCTAATAAAGCTCACATTTTTGCGCGCTATTCTGCCAATGAATGATAGCTTGTGTACGGATTTTGTTTAAAATATCAAGTAATTCACGTGTCTACGGAACCTGAAGTTGAAAGCTTCCTACATGGAGGTAGCGGATTGTATTCTTGGACGTTGACATGCAATGACTGCATCTTTCAAGAGGCGATGCAGTTACTGCACCGTCAAGTGGCCCGTGTGAAACCAGCAGAAGGCTGTTACGCGCGGATCCCAGGAAAAACGCAGCCCTCCTCCCGCCCAACCGACCGAGGTGCGCTGCCGCATGACGCACGGCGCGTAGCCGAACCGAACGCGAACATGCAAGAAAGATAGCTATTATACTAAGAAACTAAGCATGTAATCAAAATACAAATACCACTACAATTACTAGAAAGGTGTGTAAGGATTAGTAATTTAATAAAAATTTAATTTAATTTAATATTATTTTCTTGATCTTAAACTGGAATCTCTGGATGTGTCCTTCTTTGATGGATTTGATGAAAAGAGGTTGGTGGATTACAGCCAAATGATGAAACAATTGCGATATCTTTCATTCGGAGATGGTAAAATCATCAGTAAGAACTATTTTAAAATTCTGGCGTAGATAACTTCAACTCTACGGTGCCCTATGAACTGGTGTGCCAGTTGCCCAAACTGCAACATTTGCAGGTGTCTCATAACTGTTCTTTACGCGACTCGTTCATCGAAGGGTTGATGAACAAACGGGGTTCTCCTCTGGAAAGTCTTCCCTTAGTGGAAGATTGCGACTTGTCGCAGGCACAAGTTCAGCATCTTTGCAATATTTCTACGCTCTAGGATATCCGTGTATCATGCGACACTACTGCAGGTGAAGAACATTGTATAGCTCTGATAGACATGTCAATTACGAATAACACACTTCTCGCCGTCCTGAAGGGCCTTCCGCGCATAAAAGTTCTCAGTTCACGAAATTGAACTTTTTGCATAATATTCGTACCTGGCTGAGCGAACAGTACTACAGCGCGGAAAGATCCAACTACATCAGATCCTATTAACATTATTATTATTTTGTATGCTAATCATTTGGTTAAACTCATAGATGGTTATTCATTTGATCCCATATTAATAAACAAAGAACTTGGTGAACGAGATGAGAACTAGCAAATCTAATGCCAAATACTTACACGTTTTATATAGCGTGACTATATGAATAAATCCACCCGACGACTTAAAATTGTTAATTTTTACTTTACAAAAATGAACTTGGAAGTTTATGTTTATTAGCAAATTAAAAATATTCAATTTTAAGGTAGAGGGGGGACGAGCAACGAGTCAGCTAAAAAATCATATGGAATCAAATAGATTTCAGGGAAAGGGACTTAAAGATACCCACTTCAGATGCACTTGTTGGATATTCCCAAAGAAAGAGCGAAGTAACAGGAAAACTCTTAAAATGCACTCCCGCTGTCACTGCAGCTCAAATAAAACCACAGAATATAAATTTATTAGTATTTACAAAAATTTATTTATTTATCCGTTGAATTCAACATGACTTTCATAGTTTGTTTAGGTGTATTCCGGTATGGATTGTTTATTGACATTGAATCAACGGGGTATAAGCGTACTTGTGAAATTGTTTAAAATCAAATTAATATTGCCTTTAAAAACTAAAAATAAAACATAAATAGATACAATTTTTTTGTGTTTGTTTCTTTTCTTTTAGTCGTTGTTTTTGTGGTTTTTCTGTTTTCATTCCATCCTTAATTATATGAACACTTAATGTTATCTATGCCTAAACTATCCAACTAATAATAATTTTCTAGTGGGGCACTGCATTGCCTCTTCAATATACAAAACAGATTGTAGCCGTATATAGAAATGCTACACTTATATAATAATATACTATATGCGTTTCAGTTAGCGTTTCGTCGGTGTGCGCCTTTTGTCTGCACGTGTGTGTGTGTGTTCTCTTCTTTATATACAGGATTTATTTGCTTAGCAAATTATGGCAAATTAGTCTAAATTAAAAATGTTACATTACATGTGCACTCATGTAATGCGTAAGGTAAGTATTCTTTACAGTTGTTCTTCTGTAGTCTTCGTTCAATTCAGGAATTCAGGATATACATATACTCGTGTGTTGTATGCTTCAATTATGCCATTACTCTTTGTCACTCCGTGTCAGCTGTGGACTTGTTGTCTTTGTGTGAGTGGGTATCTATGTTTGATTCATTGTTAGTGGGGTTAATCGTTGAATGGAAATGCAGGTCTTAGCATTAGTCGGTTTAGTTACTACATCTGCATACACGTATGTACATATGTAGGTTCTAGTTCTGGCACTTCCCTCAACTTATATACTAGTTTTAGTTGATTAGTCAAGTGATTTTCACTTCCTGCTATCGCTTTTCCGTCAGTTTAGTTTCGTTAATCTTTAGATTGATGATTGGTGATTGATGAGCGGATGACTCTGACTGTTTCTCTGGCTCTGCTGGACATGATCTGATCGATTGTCAACAATTTACTCATACATGTAATATATATATATATAGTTTCCAGTTTCCGATTTCTTATTGTTTCATTTGTGTGTATAGTAAGCTTACGGCATTTGGCTTTCGGCTTGGCTCCCTTTCAGCAGGTATATTATTGTTAGAATTTAAGGATCTATTCAGTTTTCCTCGTGTGCTCTACGATCTATGCTCTCTTTATGTGCATATCTTGATGTGTATATGTAGGTAGTTAGGAGTGTACATTTAAGATTATATTTCTGATTTTGGATAAATACACATATTTAAATATTAAACTGAGCGAAAATCAGGCCACGAAAAAAATATCAAGCCGAAGAAACAAAAAAAATATGGGGCCAGGGCGCTTGCAAAATTTGAAATTAAATATTTTTTTAGCATAGGAATTAGGCAACTAATAACTTTTCACTTAACATAAATAATTTAATTATAAGAAACACTTAACGTAAAACTGTTTGGGCGGGCGTGGTGTGTGTTTGTGTTTGCTTGATGCATCCGCTGGAGCTCTCAGCGATTGCCTCTGCTGTTCTCAGCCATTATGCTGCCAGCTGTGGCAATATTCCCGCGATGGGCAGCGTGACACGAAGTGGAGCTTCTAATGCCGCCGCCGCTCTTTATGCCGCTACTGCTGCTGCTGTTCGCCGACGGTTCCTCCTCATCGCCTAGCTCCTCGTCCGGCTTGTGACTAGAGGCGGGCGGCGTGAGCACACTCTCCGGGGCGCGCAGCGCTGTGGCCGGCGAGGCCTGGGTCCGGACTCGCATAGCGTGGAGCGCATCCTGGACCATCAGCAATTCGTCCTGCAAAAAGGTGAGTTTCCAGATTAGCAACTATCCCTAATAAACCACTCTCTTTTTAACGCCTTCCTGAGAGATACTTACATACATGTCCATCGTGGTGGTGTGGGTCTGAATGATGTGCGAATCGTCGGTGACGATGTTGGGGCAGACATGGCCCAGTCCGAACTTGTTGCTGACCTGTTCGTTCTGCTCATTCACCTGCAGGTAGACGGCCTTTTTGGAGATCACCTGGAAGAAGGGCTCCATCCAGCGAGCACAGGGCTGGATCACCTGCCAGTCCAGGCCAGAGCAACGGAGGGCCGTCTCTCTGTAGTGCAGAAAACCAAGAGAGAAACCAAGTTAGGAAATGCCAATCCCTACGCAGAGGAGGAGCCTTCGAACTTACCGACTAAATGTATGACTAATGGCGGCCGCAGCCAGCACCGAGTACGGATAGTTGGCCATGGCCACGTCGAGGGTGCACAGATCCAGCAGCTGCGAGGTCTGGACAAACTCGAAGCCCGAGAACTGGGGATAGATGAAGGCATCATCGGCTGCCTTCTCGGTGGCGTTCTCTTTGCCGATCTGCATGAACGAGGCCGGGGTGCGGTTGTTAACATTCAGCTGCATGTAGACGCCCAGCCAGCCGGTGATGGTGATGGGGCTGATGTCCCAGTCGAGGGCCTGCAGCAGGATCTTCTCGTGCTGCCGGATGTCCCTCTCGGTGCAGGCGCCATCGGTGACGTAAGCAAACTCGCCGATCTTCGGCGGGTAGATTTCCTCCACCTTGGCGGCCACAAACAGACACGTGATGCCAATCAGCTGCAGGTGCGTCTTTAGCACCTTGTGGGCCACATGCAGATAGCGATCGAGGTAGTCAACGGCCAGATAGAAGGTCTCGCGGTGCAGCTTGTACACCTCGCAGACCTCGATCAGCCAGTCCAGAAGGATGGCCCGCATGCGCGGCTGCAGGCCCGGGTGCTGCTCCAGCATGGTGGTGCTGCGCAGACGCGAATCCTGATCGTCCCGATGGCACATCAGCTTCCACACATCTGCCGCATTGGCCCAGGCTAGGGCCGGAAGGGGGCACTGACGCAGAGAGCTCTCCACCGCCGGCGACATGCAATTCAGGCCCGAGTAGTCTTCGAGCTGTGACATGTCCTTGACGATGTTGCTCAGCGTCAGCTGTGGGGTTTTGGCCCCATAGTCGGTCATTGGCGGGTTGGAGCCCGAGGAGGCTGGCGAAATGTTCGATGAGTTAATCTCCTCATCGTCCTCCTCCTCCAGTTCGTCCTCCTCATCATACGAATACTCCTCGCAGCTGTCGTCCAGCAAATCATCATCCTCCTGATCCTGCTGCTCTGTCACTGCTGCCAGACTGTTGCTGCCGACCTGGTCCACGGCGTAGCGCACGACAACGGGCGCCTGCTTGGCCGAGCCCCGATCCGGACTGGGCGGACTGTCGGGGCTGTCGGGGAGCGGACTGTGCGAGGCCTCTGGCAACTCATCTGCCGGCGAGCTGCGTATGCTCAGCAGCTCCTGGGTGCTCTGGCCAGGGGAGGTGTACACCGAGGAGGCCACCGAGGAGAGATTGCTGCTCTGATCGCTGCCATAGATGGCAGGCAGACGCTGTTGCCGCTTGGCCGATGGTGGCTCAAAGCCGAGTTCGGGATCCTTAAAAAGAGCACACAAACAAATTTTTATTAGAATGGAATGAAAGGTCTCTGAACAGAAGAAAATATAGTCCACCACTGGCTGGTTCTTTACTGATGCAAAAGATGAATCTGATAATCTGTAGATCAGCTTTAAATATAGTAGTGGTCCATGGCTCACGACTTTACTTCTGATCTACTCTCCGAATTCGCACACGAATTCTTCCAAAAACTCCTCCCTAGATTCCTAGCTCAGTTCTCATATTTTACAGAGATCTTAAACTAATATTTAATATTAATATTATTCCAAAAACAGTCGTTACCATTTCAATGAATTTGCGCTTCTGTTCCAACTTCATAATAACATGAACAACAATGGAAAGGATATTCAGGAGTCAGTAACTGGATCACACGCGCGCACACATACACACACAGACGGATGGCGGCGGAATTAGAAACGTGTCTCGAATATAATTAGCAAAGGAGGATCAGATCAGATCAGGCACAGGCAGCAGTGCCGCTGTTCAACGGTGGCCAGAATTTATGTGGGCACGCCTGTCAAAATTCTTAATCCTTGATAGATGGACCGACCGGGTACACCCGCACAAAATGTTAGCCCGAAACCGTGGAGTGCAGTGTGGGCGGCGCAGCACACAAAAGGATACAGGATAAAGGCTACTACGTTCGTATAGTGGTACAACAATAACACTTTGGTTTGGTTTCGTTTGGGTTGCTCTTCCTTAGCTTGGGATCTCGTGGGAGCGTTTCGAGACGGTTTTGTTTGAATTTCTTTTGGGTTTCTTTCCTTGAATTATTTCTTTTTTTTGTTTTTGTATAATCAATATACAAAAATTGTTATTGCACTTTTTGCTTTGATGATTCTCGATTCTGGTGGCAGTCTTTGGTTTAAATTTCGGTTGTTCGGTTGATTCTTTGGTATGTGTAAAAGTGCAAATAAATGTCGTGTGCTATAACATTGGAAACAATTTGTTGGTTGGTTTATTTTGTTGTTGGTTGGTTGGTTGCTGGCTGGTGAGGTGATCTCTTGGCCGAATCCGGTTATTAAATTAGGTTTTTGCACTCGAAATACACAGTATTTCTTTTTTGGTCTCAGTCTCTGCTTCCCTTCCTCTTTTAGCAGCGTATCATTTTTGGTTTGAGTTTATTGTATTTAATTATTTTTGTTGGTATTACGAATATGTGCTATACATATAGATAGTCTTTGTTCTTCTGGTCACTCCGAGATGAGAGCCGGATTGAGCGGATCGTGTACCAAACGCGTTGACTGGCGCTGTGCAACTGAGCTCGACGTCCCTCGTTCCAGATCGCCGATCCCCGAGAACCCCGAGAGCCCCTAGAGCCCCGAACAACACTCCGATCGTTGATCGTCGTTATCCTGCTCAACGAATGCAACGGCCTGGAAATAGGGGTTGCTTTCACGACAACGTTGCAACAACGGTGAACGGTGAAAAAAGGCTGGCAAGCAGCAGCTTGCCCTCTCGCTTGCTCTACTGCTCTGGTGCCAGCTCCGCTCTACCGCTTTAAGGGTAGTTCCTTCCCGGAGATCTGGCTATTTCCTTGAGACGTTCGTTCATTCCGTGGGGCCTGGCCTGTGCCTGTGCCTGTCTGTTGTTTTCGCAGTGCATTTTTCGCCTCTGGGTGTTTATCAGCCCAACAACAAATCCCACTGACGGCACGGCACGGCTGGCCCTGATCCTTTCTACAATTATTTTTGTCAACAATTCCTCCGTGTGTGTCCAGGTAGACGAAGACGTTGGAAAAATCACTACCTAGACAGACAGAGTATGTGTCTGTACACACACATCTGCGGATAGTACTTATATAATTTATGTCCGTCTTTGGCTCGAGCTGCCAGAGCGGCTGCAGCGCAAAAATCTTTTAAATCTTGGGAGCTATTCCTCTAGTAATTTATCTTTTATCTTTATCAACGGCTGGAGGGTAGACGACCATGGGACAGATCGTGTGGGGCGTTGCGAAAGTCGAATGTAGAGCAAGGCTAATGGGAACCACACAAAAACGCACAGAGTCCCTCGTGAGTCATAAGATTACAGCAGCAAGATCCCAGCAGATCCTTGACCATTGTTCTCCTCGGCAGCTGATCGAAAACAGAAGCCAAGATCAGAAAGTCCGTATAAATCTACGAAAGAATGGAAGGATTTCTGTGGGATTGTAGGTGCATATCAAAGAATGCAAAGTTCCGAGTAAATTTGAAGCCTCTCAGGATCGTTTCAGTCATTTATTTGCATATTTGTGTAGCCTATGATCCTCATGATTGGGTCAAGAATCTTTCATCAAATATCATACAGAAATATCCAAGACAGAAGCAATAAAATCTATTATCTTGAAGGGAATTTCCCAAGTTTACGACTGAAATTGATCTTTCCCTTGATTTCTTTTATCAAATTTTTGCACACATCAATCTGGGGGATATGTTTCAATGTTCGATTCTGTAACTGGCAATCTCACACATCGTAAAAGCTTAACAATATTACAGCCAACCCTCCCTCTTGGCTGGCTCATTAAAGATTTTCACATAATTTGTTGCGTAAAAATGAGGGAATTTTACGATATTTATGTGACACTTTTAATTGTTTGAGTAGGTTTGCCTTCCTTCCTTCCGTTCGTTCCTTCCTTCCCCCTCTCTGAGGGAAGATACATTTCCAAGGTAAATAATTTTTTTTTTGCATCAGACGACGGACAGGAAGGTCCAAGACGCATGACAAATTTAATTTCTTATTCTTTCTGGAGGAACTGCAGTAACGTAACGAACAACAAGCAACCCTCCGCTCTGAAGGGAGCGATGATTTAGGTAACAGAAGAGCGAGAGCGAGAGAATGGCAATCGCTAATGGAAGTGGATGTGGAATTGGTAATGGAAATGGACACATGTCAAGGAACCCCAGATGCAATGTAATTAAAATCAAAGCGTGCAATGGCATAAGATGCCAATGCCAATGGACAATCCCACAGACAATGGACATTACATTCCGTTCTGTTCCCTTTGGCATTGCTTCGCTTTGGTACGTGGACATTGCATCTGCCACGGGGTGGGGGTAGATCGGGATCTGGTCAAGCGTGGATAGAGTATAGGCCTTTTCCCATCTTTGGGAACTTTATGACATGATGTGTGAGAAATTAGTGAACTGTAATGTGGGCTGGAACTGAATCTGGACCAATCTTCGGGGAAGAGAGGGTTGCGTTGCATCTTAAGTTTAACAAGGGTTAAACTGGGTTGTTGCCCTTAAGCCGATTCAAGGATTTCTCCTCTGCCCAAAGACTAGTAGTCAACGATGGTGGCAGCTGTCCCTGCTCCAGTGACTGCTATTGCGATTGCAGTTGATGGCAGTTGACGATGATCTCTTGCTGCTAAAGGCACCCAAAACATCACTCGAAATATCACTGGGAGGGAGCAGCAGGAGCAGATGATGCAATTCCACAATCCCTGTCCACATCTTCTAGCAGTTATGGGTACATATAGACAAAACAGTCAAGAAAAGCAATTGTTATGCGACAAAGTCGTCGTCGTCGTCGTTGGCTTCGTCGCAGTCGTCAACCTCAATCTCCTTCAATGCCCCATTGTGTGGCTCTTACTCTCCTGCTGCTGCTGCTGCTGCTGCTGCTCTCACTCTCACTCTCTCTCTCTCTCTCTGAGTCGCCCTCCGTGCTGTGCTGGCATTTACTGCTCTCCCTCATACCCTTCAAAGTCCTGCGCTTATGTGTCGTAATCTTTCGTCTGCCGTCTGCTCGCAACCGAAACACCTTTAGTTTTTTTTCGCTGCGTCGCGTCGATCGTTTTACCATTGGCGTGGGTCTGCCCCCGTCCCTGGGCCCAGACCCGGACCAGGACCAGGTGTAACTTTGCCGTGTAATATGCAGCATTGTTGTTTCGTTTTATTATTTCTACCTTCGTTCTTTTCACTCTCCCCCAAGGTCCTTTTTGATAACATTTAATTTGGTCTTTTTCCCGATCTTCAATGGATCTTTGAAAATTGTTAATATTTTACAGAAAGGAAATTTTCGATTGGAGATAAATTAAGATTTCTGGGAATCAGAAACAGCAAAAACAAAAACTCTTATCAGAGAAGCCAGAGAGCATCATTGTGCGGTGTCAGGCACACGCAATGTACGTTGTTTTTGCGGCATTCGCTTGCGCATCGCGAGTCGAGCATCATGCACACGCATGTATGTTGTTTTTGCGTACTGTTTTGGAGGTTCTTTCAAAAATATGTAATGGAAACCTCTCTCGTTTCTTGTTTTCTTTCTTTGACAAATTACATTTCTCCTAATGTCATTATTCAAGATTCTAAATTAGCTCGAGGCCTGTCCACTGCTCCTGCTTTTCATGTAATAAATGATATGCAAACAACATGCCAGACGAGAGCAAGACATGTCCCAGAAGGACAATAACAAACACTCATATTTCCAACCAAACCAAAAACTGACCTCTGGTCAGTGTCCACGGGAAGGGGGTTAATCCAACACAATCCTTTCGCGGTTGTCCTGCCCGTGACTTGGCAGGAAAATCTTCATCAAGACTGAGGAAATATGAGTGCAGAGAGGGAGGGAAACCCTTCGGACAGACGTATTGTAATTAATCATGCAATTGGTTAGATCCATGACGAAAGTAAATTAAAGCATAGCCCTTTGGCGGACGGGCAGGATCGGAGCGTAAGTGGACAAAGGATAAACCGCCAAATGAATTTTGAATACGAAAACATGAAATGATAAATGTTTTAGGCAAGGACATCGAGGGTAAGGAGAATGTGAGGAAGGTATGTGTAAATTTTGCTTTACGATCCATTGAAGGTATGGCATAGTAGGTTTATTAAGAGTCCTTTGTGGTTCCAATCAGATCTGTTAGGAGCGCACGTACCCCCAAAAAAGTATGTAGAGATCTGAAACACTGCGAAAGTCCTCTCTGAGCCTGAATGTCTCTCCGTGACGCAACTTTTCGGAGCAACATAAACAATTGCAGGCCGCTAAGCATCATCTAAATATGAATTTTTCAAATAATTTGTTACCCGAAGAAGACGTAGACGTAATCTCTATTGTTGCTGTTGTTATTTATACTAACTGTTTTCTAGATCATCGATAACATAGAGAGCTGATGAATCTATCAACTGTCTTTAGTTGAAACTGGTTTTCTTATCATACGCATGGGATCTGTCAGCTCAAAACAGATCATTACAGAAAGCATCCCAAACGGTCCTGTCAACTCTTGTTTACCCGTTCGCTAAATGAAATCCCCTTTAAAATTAGAGAAAACTTCGAATTACAGAGAACATGAGAGTCCGTGGAATCCATCCCATGTCGGGATGCAATCTGGGGTGATCGTGGGGAAAACTTGAAATCAATTTCCCACAATGCCCGGAAAACTGACTTGACAGAAATCAAGCCCTGCACTTGATTGCCTCCCAGGCAAACCTCAACCTCAACCCTATCCTATCCCAAACACAACAACTGCCCTCCCTCCTGGTCTTGTTTCGGCAAAAAGAAACAATGAAGTTTTCCCAAAAAAAAAGAGAAGGAAACTTTCAGCGATTTCATGCTTCGAGCAGGAGACGAAGAAAGGAAGAAAAAAGGGTTTACATTACACTGACAAATTGGTAAAATAATACCGTAATTTTTATCCTTTTGCCAGCAGCAAAACAAATATTGTATAATATTTCAAGGAATTCCAATGCAGGGCTGCATATATCCCAAACCCAGATGACATCCGACAGGAGCAGGAGCAGAAGGTGAAGGAGGAGGAGAAGGACTAGGAGCAAGATGATTTGCATAAAAGTTTAACGGAAATCTAATGAGCATACCGGAGTCCCGGATCGGTAGCGGGAACGGGACACGCATTTGCATAAGGATAATGTCCCTAGACGGGGTAGCAAAATGCAACGAGCTACCGACCACTTTTTATGGAACGGTAACATCTTCTGCAGCAAATGTCGTCTCGATGAATATTTAATTAGGGAAGCGGCAAGGAGCAGGGCAGGAAAAATGGAAAACTTGGCAGCCTACCCAGTGATCCTTGAAAAGGATAAGGCGGCGCTGCTGAACCCCTCCACGGCTCACTCGTTCGCTGGCTCACATTCGTGTTTGTGGTTAGCTCCCTGTCCCATTCCGGTACCCATCCTCACCATCCTTACCCATCGTCTTGATCTAGTTGCTGCGCCTCAAGCCATAGCCTATAACTATCGCAATTTCAAATACTTCCTACGGCCCTAACGGACGCTTGTGCGCCGCCTTGACTTTGAGGTCCGTCCTCTCCTTGGGAAACCACCCCTGGTGATCCACAGAGAGAAGGAGAGAGAGAGAGAGAGAGAGAATGACGCTGCTCAAGGTGTGCGCGCATGCGCAACGTCGCTGTAGCTGTCGCTGTCGCTGTCCTTTGTCCTTTCGTGCATATGCTCAACATACTAGTGGCAAGACCCCTCGGAATTCCCCTACAGCATGAAGGGGGCCAGACATTGCCTTAGTTTTTTTTTCCTGGATAAAATGACATTTGTTGTTTCTTGGCAGGAAGGCAAACGGCCGGAAAACAGTGCAAAAAACAACCCAAACTCGATTTCTGCAAGTTCATTGCACGTCGAGGAGCTGCTGCTGCTGCTGCTGCCATGCTTCTTACTTCTCAAAAATCCTTTGCACCAACACAGCTGCCAGGAGCTGCCAGGAGACTCCAGGAGACCCGCCAGAGAGAAGCCATTGTTCCATTGGCTTTGATTGCAGCTACTTGAGAGCCAAGGCACAGAACGGAGAGATCTGACTTCTGGCAAGGATGCCAAATGAGCCTTTTTCCGCATAAGTAGCGTTTATTTTTGGGCTCATCTCGGCATTGTGCGTGCGTGTGTGCGCCCAGGAGGAGCTGGCTGACTACGTGCCCAAGGGCTTATTTGGCTAGAGATCTAATGAGGAATGAGGATCGACAGCAGCATCGGAAGCCATGAAAGGGCTACTGCACTCTCAAAGGGCAAATAACAAATAAAAGATCGTTTACTAAACACACGAAAACGGAAGATAGACATTTGAATTGATTTTCTAAAAATATACGAAGATCAATGGAAACAACTCAGACAATAATTAAATGTGAATCCGTAGCTCTAAGATCCTTTTCTTTTGCAACAAAACAAAGTTAATCGATGAGAATTCCCAAAAAGATAATCAAGTTTAGTCATTCAAGAACCATGAGTAACTGGAATCGATATGGATATTCATTTGATCTAAATAAAAGGGTATATACGGGAAGGAATCATTAGCCATTTTTCCTATGTAATTGTGAACAAAGTTTAATTCTAGCTCAATTCATTACGGGATCATAATAACATCAACTTTTAAAAAAAAATCCTTTTCTTTAGCTTAAATGATCCACCCTCGTATGTATAACTATTTATAAATACTTTAATAAACGACTAGACGTCAATGATCGATCTACCGGCTTAGTGTTGCTCAGCAAAGATCCATATTCCATAGATCGATGAAAGAGAAGAATACCAAATCAATTTTGAGTAAAATCGAAACTTTGAAAATAAAAACTCACACAAATCCACTAGACAGATCCACTACACAGATCAAATTAGCTTGATCATCGCACATCATACACATATTCCAAGATCGTTTAGGTCATTCATTGGCCGCCGGCTCTCCCTCACTCACGCGGGGCATGGGCATTTCCTTGATAAGATTGCGCCAATCAACGAGGTCACATGTGCTCTGATAATGCAACTTCATTCATAAAACTTATCTCATACGAGTACCCAGACAGCCATACAGTAATATTCTATATTTTGTGTGAGAGGGGATGGGTGGGGGATGGGTGGCTCACCTTTGCATCATCATTGGAGTCGCTGCTGCTAAAACGCCGTTTACGTTTAATGCCATTGGAAGTTGTTGCATTGGCTGCGGATGTTGCAGGGTTCTGATTATCACAAGAGCACATCTCCACTTCTATTCCAGGGAGCTCTTTTTGTGCTATAAAGGGGGCTGCTGCTGCTGCTGCTGCCAAGGACGAGGACGAGGCTGCTGCTGCTGCTGCTGATGGGGATGACGGAGGAGCTGGGCTGCTGCTGCAACTGCTGCTGTTGACGACGACGACAATGTTGCTGCTGGCTGCTTCCTCGGTGCTGGCGCTGGCGCCGGTTCTGACTACGCTTCCATTGGGCTCAGTGCTGCTGGTAGTAGAAAAACTGCAAATGCGAGAAAGCAGGAGAAATTACAACAGTGGTACAACGATGCGAGAAAAAGTACATTTATTCAACATTTTGTTGCATCTGTTGCATAGTTTTTACTGAGTAATTCGTACATCGTACCCATTTCAATTAAAAAAAAAATAATCATAATTCAGAATAAATTTAAACGACCAACGATCTAATCTGAGATAATATTTCAATGTGACTTTTGTAAAAGTTTTGCATTAGTTTTGGATTCAACCAAAAACATTTTTTATTTTAAAATTTTGTATAATTTAGTTAATTTATATTTCAAATCAGAACTTGTGAAAGAACTTTTTCAAACAAACAAACACTGTTTTATATAAGATAATAACAAGAAAATTGTAATGATTTTAGACATGTTTTATGGAATTTTATGCAAATTGTTTAAAACTATTAGGTTTTAGGTAATAAAAAAGGGATATCGTGACTATGGACTATTGACTCTCATGCCACATATTGACACAACCCCGAATCACTGTGCCCCCCACTCTTTTGGGGATTAGTAGAACATTTCTTTTGATTTTCGCAAAATATGTAGAAAGAGAAATTCAATATGTGCTGTCTGCCGAGCAAATCGCACAGGGCATGGGCATAGGGGCGATCATTCGCTCTAAAATAGATACAAACGAAACATAAATTCATTGAATTTTGACACGACACGGCCTCCGTCGACCGTCGAATCGAGATGCTAGATGCTAGACACGAGATTGAGGCACCCAACGGATACATTAATATTTAACATCCGGGAAATTGAAATCGAGATGACTGATCGAGGGATGTGGAAAATGGGATCGAGGGCGCGTTCCCGAGGAAAAGAAAGCCCTTTCCTCTGTGAAGTGGACCCTTTTCCTTGCTCAAGATTATTGAGCAATTTTGGCAAATTTGCATGCACATTATGCATAATGCAAGAGGCTGGCATAGAATTTCCCTCCTTTCAATTCGGTTTCCCATTCGCCGATGGGCAGATGTTCCTCTCAGATCTTTTGCCTCTCAAGTGTAAGGAAGCAGTAAGGAACTGCACTTCAAGCAATTCGTTGCGCGAATTTTTGCAATTTGAGAAAAGGAGCAAAAAACGAAACCTAACCCTTGAGACCAAACCGACCGACAAAAGGTGTCGAGGTCGGGGTTCATCCGAAGGAATCTGTGAAAGGGGAATCTTGAATACAGCTAAGAAAAAAATAGAAAAAGGGCTGCTGCACATAAATTCAAATGCTTAAGCCATTTCTCCTTGGTCAGAGGATTGCGACTGCGACTACGATTGCGATTGGGTGTGTGGTATCGAGACCAAGGCTGAGGCTGCCTGTTTTGATCCTTGTCAAGGCTGGCCCTCCGCTATCGATCGCGTTTAATGGTTTAATGAACAAGAAAAAGTAATCACGTAGTAAATTACGAGGAAATGGAATCGCTTAAAAATGAGTTATGGCGAGAAATGTCGCGTCTCTCTCTCCTTCTCTCGCGGAGAATGTGGAGAAAGGAAGAAGGACTAATGGAGTGTACGTGCACACAGCACACCCAGTGGATGGAAGTTTTTTAACCATCCATCCTTTCTCTCATTCCTTCTGTTGGTGGGTTTCACGGGGTCAGGGTTCTCAGATCTCTCTGGTTAAAGGTTCACCCTGAAATTTGTCATTTCTCGGTGAAAGTTTCCGTTCCCTTTTCCCCTGCAGCGTGGCTTGAAATCTTGTTTCTGTTTCTGCTTTCTGCTGTAGGTAGCGCGAATGGCAGCTGGGGCTAAAGGCACTATCTTGGGGTGCCGTGCCGCCGCCAGTCGGAGATGATAAGAGGAAAACACCGTAAGGCCGTGCGTATTCCAGGAATATTGTCCAATGCATAATAAGTTGATCTGGCATTGGGAATAGTATCAAGGATCGATCTTTCTCACATGATAAATTATATCAAGCGGCGAGGGGAATGGGCCAACCAATTTGTTGCTGTTGATGCTATAAATTTGTACCGAAACACATCCCCGATGATGAATTTGAACCATTTTAAGCCTTTGAGGAAGAACATTTAGAAAACTAGTACAGAGAGATCCGTGAAGGCTTAGATTTATAGAAAATGTCTCTTGATTCTGTTTTGATTTTGGAAACAGATCACCTCCCGCCCAAACTAACCGAAGAGCGCTGCCGCATGACCCGCGAAACGCGTTTATGCAGGAGAGGAAAATTGGAATTGGTCGTAGTTGACATCCATTTTACAGCCTTTACTTAGCCCCTATGGTCGGTACTCCACTACACTTCAAGTTAATTCAGTGAGACTAGAGATTGTCAGCGGGAGAAATATATGCTTAAGTCCGGGTTTGTAATCGAAAGATTATGCCTGTCGGAAAACATCGTTTCGGCACTAATAGTGCTTCAGCTCATCGACTGACTGCATTGTGGGGATGCCTATCAACACTTATTGAGCGTTTTGTCTTTCATTCTAGATTGGTCTTGCCATGTAGAAGAATACGACCTGTACTGGACACATATCGGGTCGTTTTTCCATACTTTTCCGACCATAACCTATTCAGAGATAAAGCTACCCGCAAAAGTATGCAACGCTTTCTGTTCCCTCACTTCATAACCTCAAAGAGCGACATTTTGACAAATTCCGTTATAGTTTCGCAACAAATACCCATAATTATGTGGCACACATGTTGACCTGACTCCCGACTACGAAATATGTCCATAAAATGGACTATCACTTAAGTGATCGGAATGATCGCTCCGAAAGGGGGGAGGCATGGGTGATGATGTAGCGAGGGACGCATCTGACATGAGCAAATGACTGGGCAATTATGCAATTACGGTCATGCGCAGGCGAAGGCACCCACCCAACATCAAAATAGAGGGTCAAACATATTAAACTCAATTAATTTCTGTCCTGGTGTTGGCCAGGACACATGACTGACTGTCGCAATGACGGAAAAAGCCGCAGAAAGTGTGCACTATGACAACATTATCAGCATGTACGTACAACCCCTGGGCAGTGTCCTGGCCCTGGCTTTGGCCCTGGGTGCAACCCTCAACGAAACCGACCGTCCCACAACTAAACACTTTTCTAATGTAATTTTCGCGCGCAATTATTTACTAATCACACGCAGGACATCGTGGCATGTCCTGTAAAGGAATTCCGAGTGTAGAGGAATGCAGCGACGGCACTTGGTTATCAACGGAACGCCCGGTCTCGACTTTAACACCTACAAAACCATCTGTTCAGGCCTTTTTGGAGAACTTTTGGGAATTGACAGTGAAAATGCATTTTAGATTATCGCACTTGGGATCCAGGAACAGTAGAGGAACAGTAGGAGCAGAACAGTAGAGTGCTCCTGCGGGCCTATATCGGGGGGTATTCAGGCATAACATAACAAAACCAACCAGGGCTCTGTCACTTTATAATTACGAAAATGCTATTAGATAAACATCATTTTGGTAAAACGAATTAAAGAGAGACCGGACTGACTGTAGAGCGCATGCTGCTGGCTACCAGGATAGTTAGTGGTAAAAAGGAAGTAAGAGGCTTCTGTCGTTGTCGCCACAGGAAGTCGCTCAGAGAGTCGCTCATTTCGTTTGATATTAGAGACATGTGGGGTGTTAATTAGTTTTGGTTACTCCAAAGGAAATGGAAGTCACGAAAAACGTTTGATGGGAAAAGGAAATGTATGAGAGAAAGGCAAGAAAATAAGTATGAAGGTTGTTCAAGAACGTCAAACCATTCAAAATGATGTTGAAGAAGCAGTTGATGACGTTCGAAACCAGTGTTAGTTAGGATAGCACAGGGTTGGATATTTGTTTGTAGACCGGTTAGAAATAGTGTTGGTTAGTGCCCAAATACTCAATTGAAGCCGTAGAAACCCAAAACTAAAACAGTTTGTAGTTTAAAATAGAATATTAAACATATTTTCTTTATTTATCTATAGCCTGAAAAAGAACTGATACGCTCTGAAATGTATATTACATGGACATGTATTCTTTTTTTAATTGTTTTGTAAACTTAAAACTTAAAAAAAAATATAGAGAACGGAAATTCGAAACACAAATCGTACACTTACCTCTTGTCATATAAACCCATAATTGTACGGCCTCGAGAAGCCGTTGAGGTAAGGAATCCTGAATATTATGTGAAGGCTGGCTCGTCGGAGGCAGTATTTTGTGTTGGAATAATTTAAATAGTTAAAAGAGGAACTAAAAATGAGAAAAAATAAAAAATCAATCAAAAATCAAGTATAAAAACAACAATTTATTAATCTTGGGCTTCCACCTTTTGGATGGAAAAGTCCTCCTCGAGGAGGACACGATGCCCATCACATGTTTCGTGTTGGTATTGAGTTCTTTTTACGACTTTACGACAAAAAGGACTATCAACAGTTAGTCCCGCATTATCTATCCGACAGCATATGATCCTCTAAGAGAGGAGACCCAGCAGACACAGCATGTGGTCGAGGAGTTTCCTACTCGTCTCGAAAACCCAAAACAAATTTGTTTACGTGAGTTTTTCTCGAAAAACAATATACGAAATTTTCGCTTTTAGCATACAGCAGAGTAAATATTCTTCAATGTGTTGAAGATATTCAAATTACAGAGCTAGAATGCTATGGGTTGCCGGGGCTTGGATCATCGTTGGGCAGGTAGCTGGTCAGTTTTTTGTTTTGTATTTTGTTTTCTTAATAGAATTTCCACGAGTCTCGATTGATGCCCGGAGCTCAGCTGCCCTTATCCCTGGGCCCTAGTTCAGCTCCCCCTCTGGCTCTTCCTGTTGTGGCGGTGTCAGGTGCTTCTTCGAACGGCGCATGCGCAACGTCAACTGGTATTTTCTAGTGGTTTTACAACGCTTAATTATATCGAGGAGGAGCCTCTGTCTCCCTGTCTATTGATATCGATGCACCTGTTGTGGCTAGAGTTGGCGGCTGGCCTTCTGCTGTTGCTGTTGCTGTTGCCGTTGCCGTTGCTGTTGCTTTTCTTGGCTGATGATGATGGTGATGGTGATGGTGATGCGGGCAGGTGAACCGTGTGGAGAGGTCGCACTGGCAGCTGTTGATAGAGTTCTTCCCCCTAAAAGGATTCCTCCTTTTTATTGTGTTTGTGTCTTTGCAATGCTGTGCTGTAACTTCAATTGACTTCCCCCTCGCTAATTGTATCCTGTCGCGTTTCCTTGTTCCTTCCTCCCTCCTCCTCGCTTTTCTCCCCTCATTTATTTTCCTTTTCCTTCTTTTTATATTCTTTTCATTCGACTGTGTGACATATGGGCCGCCTGGCGTTATATTCGCCACGATTTATGGACCTCCTCCCTTCGGTCTGCCACTCAGTTCCGACACCTATTTCCTACCCCATATCCGAATGCTTTCTTACGACTTTCTTTCGCCCATTTTCCTCTTCTTTTCTTATGCAATACATTCTCTGTTTTCCTCACTTTTTGCCGTTCTTTCTCGGCTACTTTTTCCCCGAGTTTTCTTATGCACAATATTTTGCTTTTCCTTTCTATTCAGCCATCATTTTCACACTAATTGCGGATATGCCTTCTAATTAATTGGGTTCCTTGTTCTGAGACTGTTCTTCCCTTCACAGATCTTCAACCCTCTTTGCTTTCGAAATGGTTCTGTTTTAGCTATCGCAGCACCTGGAGAATTTGCTAAATTAGTTTGCCTGATCTAACGATGATCTCGTGTGGATTATATGGAAAAATTGTATGAATGATCTTATAAAGAAGAGGTGCAGTGATCTCGATGGAGCGGTCAACATATTAAATTTCAAAGATCATTCTTCGATCGCTTAAATTTAGTGCAAATATATTTATAAATATTTGACAGTCATTCAGGTTTAATCAGTTAATATTAACATATGATCAAAGAAATTGGGATTTCAATAAATAAAATTATAGTTCTAAAATCACTGAACGTAGAAGTAAAGCTCTTTAAAAATATACAGTATGTCAAGAAACTCTTTACACACTGAAATTAAATTACATTTTTTGACTTTGGATAAGAAAATAATGGCCTTTGGTTCAAATTTATCAAATTTTTTTAATTCCTAACCATTCAGGGATTAATTATAAAGTAGTTAGTGAAAAAAGAATAACAAAACTATAAATAGGTAACTTACAAAACAACAAAAACAATGATTACTCATTTTTGACACTGTCAAGAAACTCTTTACACATTTCGTTTTCGAGCTCTGTTTTGATCTCGTTCTTAGAAAAAACGGGACTTTACCGTAATCTATGCTTTTGGCGTTGCTCAGTGCTGCTCTATTTTTGCATTGACTTTGATTTGGTTGCGAAATTTTGACCGGTGCACATCTACAGACTAACTTTCTGAAATTTTTAAAATGCCTGGCAAAAGACTAAGCTTTGACGTTGTCCAGTTGATTTACTATAATCACCAGTTGGGCAAATCTGTTGCAGACATGGTAGACATGTTTTCAGTATCAAGGAAAACAATTTACAATGTCCTTAGTCGCGCGAAGAACGAAGGGAGACTGGAAACAAAATCTGGAGGTGGCCGTAAAAGGAAGATAGACAGACGGGCAGACCGCGTAACCATGAGGAAAGTTAATCCGAATCCGCAAATATCGGTCAGGACTCTGGCCAAGGAACTTGACGAAGAACTTGACTTGGTTGTTTCACACGAAACAGTACGCCAGGTTATTCTACGCCATGAATACTCTTCCAGAGTGGCACGAAAAAAACCGCTGCTTTCGTCGGTCAATGTGGAAAAGCGCTTCACTTTCGCTGTTAACATGATCAGTAAGCCGGCAGAGTATTGGGATGACGTCATATATTGCGACGAAACAAAAATGATGCTTTATTACAATGATGGTCCACCCAGAGTATGGCGCAAGCCGTTAATAGCTTTAGATAACCGAAACATCTTTCCGACTGTAAAGTTTGGAAAACTTGCGGTTATGATTTGGGGGTGCATCTCTATCCGAGGAGTGGGAAATATTGCATTTATTGAGAACACAATGGATGTCAAACAGTACCTCCAAATTTTAAAAACAAATTTAAAAAGCAGTGCGGAGAAATTTGGGCTCATTACGGACAATATGGCCAAATTCAAGTTTTATCAAGACAATGATCCCAAACATAGAGTCCAATGTGAGAGCTTGGGTGCTTTACAACTGTGGAAAAGTTATTGATACACCACCCCAGAGCCCCGATCTTAGCCCCATTGAAAATTTGTGGGCCTACTTCAAGAAGAAAGTGGGAAAAGACAGCCCAAAAACCGCAATCAGCTAAAAGAATTCATACTGGAAGAGTGGCAAAAGATTCCCTTTGAGTATGACCTACAAAAACTGATAAATTCGATGAAAAAACGGCTCCAGCATGTAGTCAATGCTAAGGGAGGACATACCAAATATTAAAGTAAGTTAAATATATTAAATAATTACGAAGAATTTTGAATTTAAAAAATGAAAATATTTTGTGTAAAGAGTTTCTTGACAGTGTCAAAAATGAGTAATCATTGTTTTTGTTGTTTTGTAAGTTACCTATTTATAGTTTTGTTATTCTTTTTTCACTAACTACTTTATAATTAATCCCTGAATGGTTAGGAATTAAAAAAATTTGATAAATTTGAACCAAAGGCCATTATTTTCTTATCCAAAGTCAAAAAATGTAATTTAATTTCAGTGTGTAAAGAGTTTCTTGACATACTGTATTCCTTCAGATCAAAATCAATTAATATTTGCACAAATTACTCAGGATCGCACCGAGATTACAATTTCTTGAAGATGAATAGTATTTGATTAGTAAAATCCCAAGATCCCTCAAAATCAATAAACAATTTACAAGTAAATTCGATGTCAGACATCATAAGAGTTGCTTAACAATCTGCAACACACAAGATTGTATCTTGTTGACAGGGGATACCTATCCCCATCCCCTCTGGAATAAATGACTTTATTATAAGGTATTCCCCGATTTCGTTGTCCAAATGCGAGCGACTAACATTAATAAATGACTAACTAATTGCGAGGACTGCCCACACACACAGTACACGTAGAACGCACTCCCAAGATATTCCAGGTTTCCCGATTCTCGATGCGCCTAATGAAGATTAAGCGAAAGGGAGACTGCGACCTGGGTCGCTGGAGTTAAGGAGAAATCCGCGGCGGTGTTACAGGTATACAAATATGAATAATGTTGTGGATAGAGCAGGGGCTTCCTTCCTCTCAGTCTCAGTCTCAGTGGCTCTCGAGAGCCTAATTAGAGATCCGATGCTTGAGTAAACGTCGTTGTCGGGATCGCGGTCGGTGTTCCAAGGTCATTCAAACAAAACGCGAACGGATTTAACTGGAAAACTATCTACTGCTCTATGTTCCAAAGATATTCCAAAGATTCCTCTTGTTTGTGTGTGGAAACCTTTCCCACAAGGAAATGGAACAACAACAAATGCTCACTGACGAGACTGAGATACAAACACAAATACATAGACGCATACATACGAAGCTGCAATGCAACTGGAGGAGGCAATGGAACGAAGAGGAATGCGCAAAATGCGCAGAGGAGAGCGCAAAAAATATATACGAAAATATATACAATATGTAGGTAAATATATATGTATGTACATATATAATACTGAAAAACAGGTCTCGAGATATCCGAGAGGCCTCTTGAGTCGCCGTCGTCTGGGGCCTGCAATTTTTGTGCGTCCTTTTTTGGCCGAGTGCGTGTGTGTGCGAGAGATGCATTTTGGGACGAGATACATTCCAGAGATACTCGAGATAAATGCACATGCATCTGTGTGTGTTGTCTGTCTGTTGTCAATGCCAATGCTACTCCTCCTCCTTCCGCCTCCCTCTCCCTTTCGTTTTGTTGCTTTTGTTGCGGTTTGGCTACATCTTGGTCTTGCAATTAGTTGGAACGAACGAACTCCAAGTGCCGCAAAAAGCATAAAAAATAAAAACAGGAAAGTCGATCGTCGTCTCAGACTTCGCCTTCGACTCCGAAACTCTGAGGTCGGTCTTCTCCTGTGCCTGTGCCTGCGCCTGCGTATGAATGTATGTATGTATATGTCGACGTCTTTAGAGCGCCGCCAGGGCAACGGCGTGTGAAAGTAAAGTAAAGACGAGCCAGATCCACAGAGGCAGACACAGACAGAGAGAGAGAGAGAGAGAGAGAGAGAGAGAGAGAGAGCGATAGAGTCCAGTGCACTGGAAAGAGAGCGCCGACAGAATCAAAGTTCTTCAATGGACCTGGACCTCGACCTGGGACCCAGCGCCGTTCCAGTTCCAGGAATTGACGGCCTTGAAGTAGCCGTTAGGACAACGAGACGCGCTCAATTGATTATTTAGTTTATATTTAGCAGCGTCTAAAAGGATGCCCATTGCCGGCTCAAGTGGCCAGCGTCCTGTCGCCCCTACCCTCCGCCTCCTCCTCCCCAAGTCCCAGGGACTATCCTTTGTTTGTCTGGGAATAACTGGAAACTGTTTATCATTGTTGATTCTTCCCTCTCGTACGGCTTCTCCTCCTCCCCACTCTGTCTTCTGATTCCTCTCTCCAGCTTCGATTTCGTCTGATGCTGCTCCTCCGAAGCGACAAAAATGCGGCATAAATTTCGATAAGTACAACAACAACAAAATTTATAGACAATGAGAAATGCCTATGGCCATGCCATACATGCAGGCGGTACGTACGTACTACTCACAACTCATCGTTGGATTCCATTCCGGCCGAAGGAGGATATTATAGTCCGTGTAATATTTGTGAAACATTCCGCACTTGTAATTGAGAAATATTTTTGGTATTTTACCAGGAATTCGGGTTAATATGGGCACAGGTGATATCTATAGGGATGTGTGCATGTCTGATGAGAAAATATAACAAATGAGATTCTGTTTTTTTGCCCTTCTTGTTTTAAGTAGTTCCTTTGATTGAATGCCGCTGCTCCGCTCTGCTGGAAGGAGTAGGTGGGAAACACTTGAGTGGAAAAAGCAAAAAGTGTTGGATAACCTTCGAAAAGAGGCAAAGGTGTTGAAGAGCGCCTCCAAATGGCATTTGATGAGTAAATACAGAAAAAAGAAACAATGACCTAGTGTTAGAATGATTCTAAGAGATTCCTGGAAGTATCCGTGGAAGATACCATTGCGGAATCAAGGCAGCTAAAACAAAAAAAAATGAGATTCCAGTCTGATCACGTAGCATCTTGGGACGATAGATAGAGGGCATCTAGAAAGCTCTAATGTATACAGAAATCCACCCCATCGACAAGTGCCACCTCCCGTGCCCCCAGCCACACCCCAACCCTCACAATCATCAAGTTTCAAAGAGCAAAATGCTAAAAAGCAAACACGCAAAAGCTTTACTAAAATAAAAAAAACACCCAAAACAGGGAATGCAAAAAAGCGCGAAAAAGAAAGAGAAGAAAGTCGAACAGCAAAAAAAAAACAACAAAGAGTAAAGAGTAAAGAAATTGTAGCAGGTAAGTGGAGATGGGGAGCTGACGGCAGAACAGAGCAGAGCAGAGGGGGAAGAAGCAATAGAGCAAAGCAGACATAAATATCAATGAACTCCATTCTGGGCACACTCGCTCCCTCTCGGCCATTCTCTCTCTTTCTCTCGTATGTATGTACATATGTACATAGAGTTACTACCAAGATACATGTTATTTTTTTTGCGCCACTTTTGACATAATTCTTTGTCTTGTATTTGCTTCTGCCCTCTCTACTGCTTATTCTACTGTTTCTCCGTCTTCTCCCTTTTCTACTGATTCTCCTCGAACGCTTTATTACTCATTCTTCTGGCTTGCTTTGCCTGCTTTGTTGCTCCGTTTTCGTCAAGTTTTCAACTTTTTCCGCCAGCGCAGTCGGCGCCGATGTCGGCATTGCGGCCGCCGCTCTGCCAGCGTCGACAGCGACCGTCAGCGACTCGTTGTTCTGATTGGAATGAATAAAACGGAAGAGCGCGTTTCTTGGTGTGTGTGTATGGTGTGCAGGGAGAAGAGAGCAGAGCAACGACACTCTCTCAGTGGGAGCGCATTTCTAGAGCTATCTATGTGTGTGTGTGTGTGTGAGAGCGGGGGGGAAGGGAAGCGCCAAAGAATGGAGAAATACAAAGTGGCGCGAATTAGGCGTTTGGCTGGCGCACTTTTGTTTTTACCGCCCAAAATCTATGCGAATGGCGGGAAAAAGTGCAATTCAAGCGGGAACTCCAAGTAAGCGAATAGAAAGGCGATCGTCCATCGCATAATTTGTGAAAGGGGGACCCAGAGCTGCGGTGAGGCCGAAGCACAGCATCTGCTCTGGCCGTAACTGTTACCAATGGCAGCAACAGTTCACTGCACTGGATTCCTAGATGGGGGAAAAAAATCATGCAAAAATAATGATGGGTCTGAAAACTCCATTGATAATCGAGTCCAATTTGGTGACACACAATCACACACACACACACACACACACACATGCATTCTAGGGAGTTCCATTTGGCATACATATTAAGTTTTATAATCGCTTGGGGACACTTGACACTTTCATCCGTTATATTTCTATTTAGATACTATTTAAAATTCTGCAACATTTCCCCCACACGGCAATATGTGGTGGCTGCTCAGTTTCTAATATCACATTTTTCGGCACTTTTGACTTTTTGATTTGTTGTATTTGTAGCAGAAAAAAAATGCAAAGACACGACGTCAGCCATCGCCACCGCCGCACATACAACGCTGTCCCACCCTCCCAACCAACCGTTCAACAGCACACACACTTTTGTCGGATCTTTACCGATTCTGTCCCCCCCACACACACTTGTCACACACGCACACTCGCACGCGCGTCATATATTTTATTCGAACTTTTTTCTTTTGCTTTCTGCACCACTTTATCGAGGAAATTGTGCAATATTTTTACCTTCTCCGGCCGGGGCAGTCGCTGTGACAGATGGGGAAAACGGTTTCAGGAGTTTTCCCAACAAAATTGGCATTTGAAAAGGGTTTTCTGAACGTGCGCACTCGAGAATCAAAAATTTTCTACGTCGTCGTCGTCACGCCGGCCACAGTATGATCAGCCAAGGCATCCGAATTGGTAACGTCAGAGAGAGCTAGAGAGAGAGCAAGGCAGCGACAGCGGCAGCGACTGCGGCGAGTGTGCAAGAGGAACGCGCCAAAACAAGCTGATCTGAAGCGCCAAAAAATGCAACAACCACACGACGCAAGAGCTTGTTGTTGCTGGTGGCTCAACTGACATTTCGAAGAGAACCAGAGAGAAAGAGAGAATCTCCCGCGCGAAGCAGCCGCACAAAGGAATGTGACTGTGGCTGAGAAAGAGAGACGAGAGTCCACTCCGCTGGTGGCAGCATTTTATTGAATGGAAGGGAATTGGTGAAGCTGGAAATGGATCCATGGATCCCCTGCAAGGGGCAGAAAGTGGGCCGAAGCAGCCTGTTCTGTTTCAGGTCTTCACATGGAAGTTGGAGTGAGTGTGTCTCGTCTCTCTCTCTCACTATCGGTATGTGGCAATCAGTTGGACGTCGAGAACAGCTGAGTGGGATGCCAGCTAGTCCAAAAAAGGACAGATATTTTAACAAATTTAAGTAAATTTTCTGCATTTTTAATGTTTTTTTCATTTGCAAGTGTCCATTTAGAAGTGTAATTAGCAAAATAGGAAAACCATTTTTTTTCGTGTAACAATATTTCTTTAAAACTATAAGAAAAACACATATTAAGCTAATGATTTTAGCACATGTCTGTTTGATCAATAAATATCTTTGAAAAAGAGCAAAAACATGCACTAAAATAAGCAAAGTTTATCGCTTTTGATTCATTTTAAGAAACCGAATGCATATTAACGACCCACTAAATGAATTGATCAACTGGGTGGCAATGCCAATTGAGATCCAAACAAACCGCCGCGACTTTGTTGTTGCCATCGATTACCATTTCATCGTTTTTGGCACCAACTTTGCGCCCCGTTTGCGCACACAATCTGAATGAAACCCACCAAGTTGGTAATTGCATTCAAAGGGCAAAAACATGCAGAATCAGATTCTTAAAAAATAATCAAAATCATTGCAAATTTGGGGAAAATAACAACAATCAAAGTTGGCGATTTCCCGCGCGCGGGAACGCAACGTCGCCTCTTCGCTGCTGACAGCACTGACAGCTGAGAGAGTCGCTTTTAGAGAGAGCGGCGAACGACGTTGGCAGAGGCACAAGAAAAAAGTCAAAAACGTGAGCAGCGACGTCGACGTTTTTTTTTTTTTTTTTTTGTAGAATAATGAACAAGAAAGAAAAATGTTAAAAGCAACGGAATCTTGTTGGAGAACCGCAAAAAAGCGAGCAAAACCTAGGCCGAACTGAATTTTGAGGTCATATTGGGGGGTTGATCGGGGATCGCACCTGCGGCAGTGCGGTGCGGCTGCCAGGTGGCAGGCAGATCTCAAGCACTCACCTGTTCCTATGGCTCCACTAGGGGCTTGCGGCTTGTCTCTTCCCGGGGCTGGGCCACGCGTTTCTTTCCTTGGGGGCACACACACAAAACACACGCGGATTGAATGATGAAAAAAAATTGCACACACCGCCACAGACACACATACAACACACGCACAGCAGCAGCACACCAGCGGCGAGCCAGCAAGACAGTTTCCTTAACAGTTTTAGCGGATTTTCTTCAACTTTGTCCAAGTGCGGGCCAAGATTCACAGAGTGGTTACAAACCAACTATCGTTCAACTTCAACTTCAAAATCAAATCAATTTTTTTTTTATTTGCGACGTGAGCGTCGCAGCTGAAGTAAGAGAAAACAATGTCATCGATGTTTGGAACAACGATGTTTTCTGTGCGCATCTGGATTTTCAGTAATTTGACGACACTGCAGACTGACGCACAAGGCACTTTGCTCAAACAGCAGTAGCATAAGTGTTCCTATTCCCCCGATTTTAATATTCCATTGAATAATTCCATCTAGATAGAACCCTCAACCCTGTTTACATAATTTTATCCGATTAAATAATCAATTTTCTATTGACTAGCTAATTTAAAATACTTGCTTTTATTAGATTTTGTTAAAAAAAAAGGTTTTAGCGAAAAGGTCACACAAAAAAACGTGAGTAATCAATTTTGATGTTCCGTTGAATACTGCTGGCTAACTAAGACTCTAAGCTCTGCCCACATAATTTTATTAAAGATTTTAGTTTTTAGTCCTTGCTTTTATTGTATTGTGTATAAAACAAAAAAGTTCAACAAAAAACAGTCGTAGTGTTGTCACGTCCATGTTGCGGGACATGCTGCTCGTTTCTCGGCACATATATAGAATGTTGCCGCAACACTTGTGCAAGTAAGAACATGCTTCTGCGACGAAAAATTTAATTTTGCAGTTTTCAATTAACTTGAATATATTTAAGCGTTTTAGATGTAATACGCAGCACTTTAAGTTGCATTTGAATTGGATTATTGATTTATTTAAAATTTGCCTACACTACATTTGACTCGTGCGTTATCGGATTGGACAGTGTTACCCCGTGGAAAATTTCCGAGCGCGCACAAATTCAAAAACGCGCGGAAGCGGTTTGGGGTTCGAATTGTGTCTGAAGCAGTCTCTTTTATGTAATGCCAAGCATTTTGAATGCCATCCTTGTGTTTGTTCTACATAAATTAGCTTATATGTTACTACTATATTGCATTTTTGTTGCACCTGGCTGCCAGATCGCGCTCGAAAACTCAACTAAAGGAAAACGGCCAATAGCCAAGCTCCAACCGAATAAGCACAGCTGCAATGTGCCTCCGCAGCGTTTTTTTCAGGTAATGCCAACAAAGAAAAACCCCGACGCAGCAGAAAAACGTCTTCCTCAGCACCGCCGCAATGACAAAACACTGCCACTCCCTCTCTTACATTTTGTTTCCATGTTTATTGCGATATTTGTTTTGCTATCATTAATTTACGTTTCAAACCTAGGAAAAGTCACCAAGATGCTCTCGAGCTTACAAAGGCGACTGCTTAAAGCCGCGGGCCGCATAATCAGCGGGTGCCGAGCGGTCCGACACACGGGGATAGCCCTCGTCACCGGGAACGCAGGACCTACGCGATGAAATCACACGCCAGCCCCCCTTGCGGGTCCAATCCTGCAAGGAAATGGTAACAGAAGGGAAAGGTGAGAGGTTTATAGAGGCATCATAGCTGAGGAAGCTAGAGGTCCCCTAAAATGAGGTAATGGTCAGAGGTTTGACTAGGGATATAGGGAGCAAATACTGCATTCAGTAATATGGTTCATTGATACAAGCAGAGATTGATGTCTGAAGACATCGGGCCAGAAAATCCTTCGAATCTGCAGCGACTTCATTCATATTATCCTTCTACTAGGTGTCCCGGTCCATTCCTTCTACCAATCAAGGGGATTCCCCCGCGGAGTACTCACATTCTGATTGTACTTGAAGTAGTAGGCGCCGGCATAGATGCCCGTGAGAGCCATCAGAGCCTTGCCAGTCCAGAAGCGTATCGTGTAGGCGCGCTGGAAGCCCTAAAAGTAGAACAGGAATCACTTAGAAAGCCAAAAAACAGGAGAAAATGTGCCGATTTGTGCGATTACATAATGCGACGGCGACGATGCCCGGCCGACTTTTACTCACCAGGGCTGGGGTTAGAACGTTGCAGAGCTTGTCCAGGGGGGCCCGGTAGAAGCGCTTAATGGGATTGTTCAGCTCCAGCTCGAGGGCGGGCACCTTTCGGGCGCCGTGGTGCAGCTCCTGGTCCTTCAGCCACTGTTTGCGCCAGGCCCGCTCGTCGCCAGTCATTCCAATCAGGCGCTCGCGCTCGCGGACCATGCGACCTGCAATGGCCATGGGCTTGACGCCGCCGGTATCAGAAGCTCCGCCAGCAACCATTTTGTGTTGTTTTATCTAGCTTTAAAAGCAAATTCGTTAAATGTAAAAAAAACCAGCGCAAATCGTGAAAATATTGAGACAGTGTGCCCGTTCTATCTAGACAAAATCAACTAAAAATCCTCTAGAGCGTTAAAAGAACAGCTGATTCTTGCCCATCGTTATCGTGGCTTCACATGTTTTATTGTTGTTGCGGAAACAAAATTGAGACAAAAAAAATCAAAGTCAATTATTTAAAATAAACCAGTTAAGTAGAAAATTGATTCATTAATTATTAAAATTATGTGGTAGGGCTGTATCTAGCAAGTAATATTCCACGGAATATAAAATCGAGGAGAATGTAGAATAGAAATTGAATTCGTCAGTATACGGTATATTAAAATGAGACGGAATATTTAGGTATATTTCTGAGGGTCGGACGGCATATTTTATCGTTAAATCCGCGGTCACACTGGCCTCTTTTTGATTAAAAAACCGAAAATACAGCATGGACATTGATGAGTTATTCGATTGCTTTACCGAAGTGCCACCGGAGAGCCTGGAGCCGCCCACTCCAGGTCCCAGCAAGGCTAAGTCAGCCACAGACAAAGCCGCCAAAAAGGCGCCAAAGCGTCCGGCCGACGACGCGGCCATTGGCGAAAAGCACGAGGAGCAAGAGCAACAGCAGCATGAGGAGGTGGCGGAGGAGGAAGCCACAAAGCGCTTGAAGAAGGAGGAAGAAGTTGCCGGCAAGAAGGGTGAAGATGCGGAGGAGGAGGATTTGGAGGAGGTGGTGCCCCTGGATGTGGATGATTCCGGCACTTTGGAGGCCCTGAACACACGCATCGTCACACACCTTCTGGAGGCGCCCGAGTCGTGCACCCACGAGGTGGCCGCCTACCCTGACCAAGAGTACATACCGCTGCAGCCGTTTGCCGGCATTCCGGCCAAGGAGTACCCCTTCGTGCTGGACCCTTTCCAGCGGCAGGCCATCCTCTGCATCGACAACTCCCAGAGCGTCCTGGTCTCGGCACATACCTCGGCGGGAAAGACCGTGGTGGCAGAGTACGCCATCGCCAAGTCCCTGGCAGCCAAGCAGCGCGTCATCTACACGACACCCATCAAGGCCCTGTCCAACCAGAAGTTCCGCGAGTTCACCGACGAGTTCAAGGACGTCGGCCTGGTCACCGGCGACGTGACCATCAATCCCTCGGCTTCGTGCCTCATCATGACCACCGAGATCCTCAGGAACATGCTGTACCGCGGCAGCGAGATTATGCGCGAGGTGGGCTGGGTGGTCTTTGACGAGATCCACTACATGCGCGACAAGGAGCGCGGCGTGGTGTGGGAGGAGACGCTCATCCTACTACCGGACAACGTGCGCTACGTCTTCCTCTCGGCCACCATCCCGAATGCCCGGCAGTTCGCCGAGTGGGTCTGCCACCTGCACAAGCAACCCTGTCATGTGGTCTACACGGACTACCGTCCCACGCCGCTGCAGCACTACATCTTCCCCGCCGGTGGCGACGGCATCCATCTAATTGTCGACGAAAAGGGGCAGTTCAAGGAGGACAACTTCACCACAGCCATGGCGGTGCTGGCCAATGCGGGTACGTACAGAGATTCATCATAGATTCCCCTACAAAAAATAACACCACTTTTTTTTTAAGGGGAGGCTGGCAAGGGCGATCAGAAGGGACGCAAGGGCGGCATCAAGGGCCACAATTCGGGACAGACGAACATCTTCAAGATCGTCAAGATGATCATGGAGCGCAACTTTGCCCCGGTGATCATTTTCTCGTTTAGCAAGAAGGACTGCGAGATCTTTGCCATGCAGATGGCCAAACTGGATTTCAACACGGCCGACGAGAAGAAGCTCGTGGACGAGGTCTTCAACAATGCCATGGACGTGCTCTCCGACGAGGATCGCCGCCTGCCGCAGGTGGAGAACGTTCTGCCGCTTCTGCGTCGAGGCATAGGCATCCATCACGGCGGTCTGCTGCCCATCCTGAAGGAGACCATTGAGATTCTGTTCGGCGAGGGCCTCATCAAGGCGCTCTTTGCCACCGAAACGTTTGCCATGGGCCTGAACATGCCGGCCAGAACGGTGCTCTTCACTGCTCCCCGCAAGTTCGATGGCAAGGATTTTCGCTGGATCAGCTCCGGGGAGTACATCCAGATGGCGGGTCGTGCCGGTCGTCGTGGCCTGGACGACAAGGGCATTGTCATCCTGATGATCGACGAGAAGGTCTCGCCGGCCGTGGGCCGGGACATAGTCCAGGGCAAGGCCGATCCCATCAACTCTGCCTTCCACTTGACCTATAACATGGTTCTAAACCTGCTGCGCGTGGAGGAGATCAATCCGGAGTACATGCTGGAGCGGAGCTTCTATCAGTTCCAGAACCAGGCTGCACTGCCCAGGCTCCACGACCAGGTGGAGCAGAAAACCATCGAGCTGAACAAGCTGAGTATCAAGGACGAGCACAACATTGCCTCCTATCACCACATCCGCGAGCAGCTGGAGAGCCATGGCAAACAGTTCCGGCAGTGGCTGACGCGACCCCAGTACCTGCTGCCCTTCCTGCAGCCCGGAAGACTGGTCAAAGTGTCGGCCGGAACCCAGGAGTACGACTGGGGAATTGTCCTTAACTTCAAGAAGCAAGATCAGAGCCGCAAGAACCCCCTCAAGAGTGAGCCCAGCGTCACCATCGACGTCCTGTTGCACGTGAGCGAGGCCGCCGCCAAGTCCGGCGACACTGAGCCCTGCCAACCCAACGAGCGCGGCTGCATGGAGGTCGTGCCGGTGGCCCACACGCTCATCACACAGATCAGTTCGATTCGGGTGTACTTTCCCAACGATTTGCGCAGCGCCGACAACCGGCGCGCCGTCCTGAAGACCATCCAGGAGGCCAAGAAGCGGTTCCCCTTGGGACCACCAGTGCTGAATCCCATCGATGATATGAACATCAAGGATCGCGAGTTCCGCGACATTGTCGATGCCATTGCCCAGTTTGAGTCGCGCCTCGAGGAGCATCCGCTGCACAATTCGGCCGAGCTGGGGCGCATCCACAAGCGCTACCAGGACAAGGTGAAGCTGCAGGCGCAGCTGACGGCCATCAAGGCGGAGCTGAAGGCCGCCCGCAGTCTGCTACAGATGGAGGAGCTGAAGCACCGCAAGCGCGTGCTCCGCCGGATGGGCTACTGCAAGCCGGGCGATGTCATCGAGTTCAAGGGCCGCGTGGCCTGCGAGCTGAGCTCGGCAGATGAGCTGCTCATGACCGAGATGATCTTCAATGGTGTGTTCAACGATCTGACCGCTCCCCAGGCGGTGGCACTGCTCTCGTGCTTCGTCTGCGACGAGAAGTCCCAAGAGGCCCCCAAGAGTGCAACAGAGCTCTCGGGACCTCTGCGCTCCATGCAGGATCTGGCCCGACGCATTGCCAAGGTGTCGTCCGAGTGCAAGCTGGAGCTGGACGCGGACAGCTATGTGGACAAGTTCAAGCCCTTCCTCATGGACGTGGTGCTGGCCTGGTGCAAGGGCTCCAGTTTCCTGGCCGTCTGCAAAATGACCGACATCTTCGAGGGCTCCATTATCCGCTGCATGCGTCGCCTGGAGGAGCTGCTGCGGCAGATGTGCCAGGCCTCCAAGACCATCGGCAACACGGACCTGGAGAACAAGTTCTCGGAGGGCATTCGACTGCTCAAGCGCGACATTGTCTTTGCCGCCTCGCTCTATCTATAAGAAAACACACATAATATTTAGATTTTCCCACTTTTCAAACATACATACAACTGATGTAGTTAATTAATCTAATCCTTGCGTTGACCCTGCTACCAGGGGTGGTTGTTGTAGGATCAGACATGTATATTTACAATACGCGAGAAGAGAAAAATATTTAATTTCCATTATGGAATATGTGAGAGGTCAAGCATTCTAAGTAATTTGATCAGTTATACGATCGACGGTGGCCTGATTTTCAAGAGTGTACCCTCAAAATGAAATGAATGAACTTTTGTACCTTTAGACCATAGAAGGATTTATAAATTCCCCGTTCCCTGAATACTTTATATTTTATCCCAAACCCGTATTGGATATAATAATATTTATACTAGTATTTGTACGGTATATTATTTTATTTCAGGACAAATACAATAAAATGAACTAAACTTAATAAAACATATGAAATGTAAATTATAGATTAAAGATTACGCTTTCAATCATGTAATGGATCTAGAACTATTTACACACAATAAACATGTACATGATGTATATGAAAACATAAAATTATTGGACGGTTCACACTGAATTTGTATGGTCATTGGTTGGCTTATATGCGACACATAAAACATATACAAAACCTACAACTAAATCTTAAGACAGATACACATATGTGGAAGGCACACAGGGGGGCTGATGGAGGGAGGGGATTTCTTAAAACTAAACATGGGGATGGGGGTAAGGTCCAGTAAAGACAACCACAAGACAAGGAATGAAGGCACTTTAGGTGTTGCTTTTGGACTTACAAATGATAAACTTATTCGAGTATATGGTTACGGACAGGACAGTGATTCGAACAAGATTTGTTCCCAATATCTTAACATTTTAATGAGTTATTATTGAAAATTCAGGTAAGGAATATTTATTTGTTCTAAGATGTTTGCATGTAGTTTACAATGTTATTCGACTTACTTATAGATGCCACATAATGGGTTTTAGAACTCTACAAGATTGAGTTGAAAATTGCTCTAGTTGAATGTCAGATCTGTCCCGAGTAGATCTCATTTGATCAGCTGCACAATATACCTTATTATAATTGATATAAATGAAAAGACTCCATTTGAATCTTCTAGTAGTTCTTTAGCTGCCTAAACTTGTTGAATAGAGAGCTTAAATAGAGCCTGTCCTTACTTCTAACTAAATGTATATACACTTATGGTCCAATTGTAAGGCTATGGAATGTCATTGATATGGATTTGTATTCGTTGGGTTATCGAACTTACAATAAAAGTACTCGTAAAACAAACAAAACCTAAAATATAAACTAAAATAAACTCGAAACTGAGATCTCAAAGATCTGTTTAAGCATAAAATTATACATAGATTATAAATTATGAAAACTAAATCGAAATGTTACACAAAAAGTCACTTAGCTCCAAGGAAGATCTAGAAAAATAACGAAATATTTAATAGACATAAGTGGGAGAGGAAATCTATCTGATTGACCTACTTCTTTGTCCGTTTCCTTGATCGACGAAAGGCTTATTGGTTGGTTGGATGGTTCGATTTACTCTCTAAGCGCATCCCGCGCTTAGAGAGCGGTTTCTTAGACGGAGGTCTGGGGCACGCCTTCTACCAGCTGTGTGCGTCGGGGTTGAGCCGCTGGCTGTGAGGACAGGGTGGCCGTCGTGGTGGTTGTCCGTGCCGAGGGTACAGGTGTGGTGCTCCGACTGCTCCCGGAGACGCTGGCAGGCGCTCTCTTGGTGGGCTCCGACTGCAGCTGAGGCACTGGCGTGCTGGAAAGGGGATGCAGCAGACGCTTCTCCTCGACGGGCCCCGCCTTGGCTGTCGTTCCGTTGGTCTGGGAGCGCGGCGTAGCCGCCCGCTCGGACTTGACCAGGCTGCCGTTGGTCTCCTTGAGGGAGATGCCTGACTTTAGTGACGCCTGACTGCCCGACTTCTGGGTGGTGGCCAGGGAGCTGGGCGATCGCAGCGATGTAGTGTCTGTGTGCGCCTTGCTGGCCAAGGTCTTGGACGAGGGCGAGTCCCGGTACTCGTAGATGTTGTCCCTCGAGCGCATGGCGTGGTGGTTGGTCACCATGTGGGCATTGTCCACGCCCCTTGGGTCCGGCTCGGGCTCCAGGCCCTCGCCATTGATGAACACATCCTCGTCGTAGAAGCGATCCGATTGCCTAGGGATGATTCACATAAGCAGGTGTTTCTTGGGACAAATCAATGCTCCACCTACCGCTTGGCGTTACGCCACATTATGCAGCAGATGACCACGAGTACGATGAGGAAGAAGCAGGTGACCGACATACTCCAGAAGGCTATTTGCAGCGGCTCCTTCGGCTCCCACCAGTACTCCGTGGTGGGGGGATATGTGGGCACCAGGACCCCGATGACAGTCGGCAAGTACTGCGTCCAGAAGGCGCACTCCGTCTGCCGGTAGTTGAGCAGAATGGACGAGTTGAAGGTGGTGTTGACGTTCAGGTAACGAATCTCGCCCTGGTAGGCTCGCTGGAAGTGCATGCCCAGCACCTGTTGGGGTGTCGGATTGCTGCGAAAAGAAACCAAATGGAAGTGAAATGCACTGGAAAAGTGCTCGTTGGTGCTTACCCATATCTGGCGAAGTTCGAATAGGTCTGCATGAAGAAGTGACTCATGTTGCGATCGTTGTCGGTCCACATGTTTCGCTGCAGGTGCTCCTTCTTGGGAAAGAACTCGGTGTCCATGAATGGGGCACCGGTGAGGAAGTAGCGTTCCGTGTCATGCGGATACTTGCGCCACTGAGGCAGATTGAGGGCCTCCACCGTGGTGTTCAGGACGTACATAAACACCGGGACCTTCTGCTCGAGCAGCAGCTTGACCATCTGATCCACCGGTGCGCGGTAGTACAGATCGCTCAGCATGTTGATGTACTGGTCCCGGATGATGGTGTTGTTGTTGGGATCCGGCCAGTACGTGTACATGTACTTGATGGCCTCGTAGACGCCGTTGGGGTTCAGGGTGTAGTTGTAGCGGAAGACGTGCTCCCGTATCTTCTGTTCGAAGAATCGTCCGTCCAGCTCGTAGTACGGCCCCAGTGACTCGTTCTGGGCCACAAGGAAGGCCGCCTCCTGGGTGGTCACCCCCGTCATGTACTGGATATTCCGATTGAATTTCCCAGCACGTATCAGAGTCTCCGGGGTCTGGGTGAGGAAGCGCCAGTCCTTCTCCCGCCAACCCTCGTACCAATCGTCGCCGGGCAGAGTGAAGTTGTGGTCCAGCACCGGTCCCCAGGGGAAACTGCCCACCTGCGGCGAGAACTCCGCGTTGCCCAGCTCGTAGAAGCTGCGTCCGGTGCGGAGACAGTTTACCAGCTTCCACGACGACTCAATGGAGCAGCCGAGCAGCTGGCCGAGTACTCGACTCGTGTTCTGCGCCCTGTACTTGTCCTGGATCAGCGCCCAGTCGGCCAGTGCCGAGCCGGACTGGGCAATCACTCGCTTCACCATGTGCCGCGTCTGCGGGGCGACCATCAGCAGGCCTGCCGAGGCTCCACCGGCTCCCGGGCCGAACAGCGTAATCGAGTCACGATCCCCGTTGAAGAACTCGATATTGTCGTGGATCCACCGCAGGGCCATTGCTTGATCCAGAATGCCGTAGTTTCCGGGCGAGTTCTCGTCGCCAGTCGAGAGGAAGCCCAGGGCTCCCAGTCGATAGTTGAGCGTTACCACGACCACGTCGTAGAAGGAGGCCAGTATGTGACCCTGGAACAGGTTGGAGGCGCCGCGAATGAACTCTCCTCCATGGATGTAAACCATCACGGGATACTTTTGGGCCACGCCAGCGCCAGTCTGCCAATGAGAAGAGATAATCAAGTCGCATTTCATACGTTTTTATATTCTAAAATGCTTTTTATACCCGGTATTCAAAGAGTATGCGGGTATGCTAGATTCGCGTAGAAGAAATATAACATCTCCGAACATATAAAGTATAGATAAACTTCGTTACCATCAATAACCAAGTCAATATAGCCATGTCAAAAACTATATCCTAGAACACCCAAATTTGATATCACACTAAATCAAGTTGGTTTTAAAATTTGTCCAGGCGTTTTCCGCCAATACAATGCGAAAATCTTAAGGTACGAGAAAGTCGAAAAGGCAGAAACATGAAGAGTTATCATATCTAATATAATGCAGATTTTCTCCCATAAGAAAGATGATTGTTGATAAAAGTTGTTCCTCAAAGTCTCTGTAAAAGTCCTACTAAGCTATTTGTTAAGGAAATATAAAGTGATTTATGGAAAAATATGAGGTGATAAAGTAAAAAAGCACAAAGCGACCCGTAAGTTCGCGACCAGTACTTAGAGATAATTTGTTTTGTAAATACACGATGGAAACCTACATTAATCCTCTTTTAAAATAAATGAATACTTTGGAATATTCTGTTCCGTTCCGCAGATTTTTCCATTTTACTAGATTAAGCCAAAGCCGATTTCTATTTTGTGTACGTTCGCGACCACATGTTTATTGCTATCATTAAGAAAGCTTAAAATTGGATGACCCCGTCTTTTGTACTAAACATAGAGCTAACAAAATTCTATCGCCCAACTTGCTTACTATTACTACCTGCTCACTCGATACTTTATATTGTAGCAAAGTAACTTACTTGTATTTGGAGTTTCTCTATTCTTAATCACTCTATTTAGTTCTTTTTGACTTAACTATCAAATATCTTTTATCTCTATCTTTTATTATGCTCTTTCGGAGCATGTATTTCGAGTAGGACATAAAGAAGAAGCATGCCTTCTTGGCTAAATATTTTTTGCAAATCCCGATCAGAATCAAGACCCGAACAACCGGATCAAGCAGAAGAGGACAAGGAAGACAGTAGTATACTTCTTCGTCGAATCTATGTTATCACCAAGATAACCATTTTGATTTTTCTATGGCTGTTCTTCACCATTTGTCTGATTACAAGTCCAGCCGAAGAAGTACCTAAATCCTTGGTGACCATATTACCCAATCAGACGGTTGTTAGAAAGTTGAAGCCACTGCCCCACAATGATATAGAAATTCAACTGGAGGGACCCATTGACAAAGATCTCACGGACCATATGGATAACGAGGACGATGCGAGTTATGTGGGTGTTCGGGTTGAGCGTCGCGACTCGAAACTGAACGTCACGTATGTGCAGACTGACTTGTGGAAAGTTTATATCGACAAGTCGGAAAAACATTTTGTATCGGATGAGATCTATATGAAAGTCACGCAGGCAAATGACCAGAAAGACGCAGAGGTGGTCGTATCATTCAAGAGCTACAGCGCGGAGCCGGTTTCACTTCTCATTCAGGTGAACACCATGCCTGTGGACAAAGAAAAGGGGGTGATTTATGCGGGGCTTCTGCTCATCTTCCTGTACGTGCTAATCATCTGGGAGATTACGGATCGGACGTTCGCTGCCCTTATGGTATCATCGGCCTCCCTCGCTGTCCTGGCCGCCATGGGGGCGCGACCCTCCCTGGAAACCATCGTGTCCTGGATTGACTTCGATACCCTTATGCTGCTGCTGGGAATGATGATCATGGTGGCCATCCTATCGGAGACAGGGGTGTTCGACTACCTGGCAGTGTTCGCCTATCGCATGTCCAGCGGTAATGCCTGGCCCCTCATGTTCTTCCTGTGCTTTTTCACCGGAAGCTTATCCGCGTTCCTGGACAATGTGACGATGGTGCTGCTGATGGTGCCCGTCACGATTCGGCTCTGCGAAGTGATGGCTGTGCGCACAACTCTGGTGCTGATCGTGATCGTGATCTACTCGAACATCGGCGGCACTCTGACGCCAGTGGGGGATCCGCCAAACGTGATCATAGCCACCGATAACGATGTGGTGAAGGACGGCATTGACTTCTTCAACTTCACGTTGCACATGTTTCCAGGCGTGCTTGTCTGCATGTGCACTTCATTCATTATTTTATATTTTATCATCCGCAAGAAGCTGTTTATAGTCGACGTGGACCCAATGACCCACGCCATCAAGACGCTGGAGAGGGAGGCGGAGAAAGTGTCACCCACCACGGCAGACGAGGATGCACTTCGTCAAGATATCCTGAAACGCATCGCAGAGCTGAAGGCTAAGGACAAGGCGAAGAACAGGGCTACGATAGCCATGCTAGCGCCAGTCGACAACTACTTCGAGACCCTGGGCGCGTTGGAAGTAAAGTACAGAATTCGGAACAAGCCGCTCCTGATTAAGTGCTGCATTGCCTTGGGGTTCGCCATTGCCCTATTCTTTCTCCACTCGTTGCCATTCCTGGCCGGCGCTTCGCTGGCGTGGATAGCCATGCTTGCAGCCCTTCTGCTGCTCATTCTGGCCAACAAGGAGGCCATGGATGTAATTCTCCTCCATGTGGAGTGGTCCACACTGCTCTTCTTTGCCGCCCTCTTCGTCATGATAGAAGCCATGTCCGAACTGGGCCTCATCCAATGGATAGGAGACATCACGGTCGGTGTGATCCTGAGCGTGGACAAGAAGAACCAGTTGACCGTTGCCCTCATGATGCTGCTTTGGATCACCGCATTGACCTCCGCCTTTGTCGACAACATACCCATCACCCAGATGATGCTCAAGCTGACCGTCCAGCTGGCCAAGAACAAGAAGCTCAACCTGCCGCTGTCCCCTCTCATCTGGGCGCTGTCCTTTGGCGCCTGCTTTGGGGGAAATGGTACACTGATCGGCGCCTCGGCCAACGTAGTCACCGCGGGACTGGCCCAGCAGCATGGCTATAAGATCTCCTTCATGACCTTCTTTCTTGTTGGCTTTCCCGTGATGATATTCACGGTAATAATTGCCTCTATATATCTCCTTATTTCACATTGCGTATTTTCCTGGCATAAGCAATAAATAGATAAATGAAGTATCAAATACAACTAACCTTTGGCGAATAAACATTCAAGTACAGGCAATCCTCGTCCATGTCCATCACTCCCTTGGTGGCGCCCGTGTATCGTACTGGCTGGGGACAGGCGGGACCAAAGTCCACAGCCTGGAGCAGCTGCCAGCCGCGATGGGCTCGCGGCGGCTTGAAGCGCCCCTCGAAGGTGGGCGGCAGGGCATAGGGTATGCCCAGGAATGCCGAGCACTCGCCCATCACTCGATCCACGGTAGAGTGGTAGGGCCTGTAAAACGACTTGGGGTCAGGGTTGTCGTACATGTAGACCTTGAAGCCCTGCACCTGTCCGTAGTTGGTTGTCACGAACACATCTCGATCCAGAGTCAGCGAGTCCCGACGCTGCTTCCCCTGCAAATCCTCACGCCAACCGGCCAGCACTCCCGGGAACTGAGTCCGAGCATTGGGATCGTTCTGTAAGAGGGGCAATAGATAGATTGAGACCATCAGTTTCATCGTTCTGTGATGAGTACAGAGCCACAAAGCTGATCATTGCAGCGGAAACATGTGTAATTGATTAAGTCGAATCGCTTTCGGCTCCATTCGATGGAATGAAAACTTAATTAAGATTATTGCATTGATAGGACAGTCATCCGTGGATTGGGCGCGTACCGTACTCCGTCTCTCAATGGGTTCTCATTGTTCGTTTATGGATCGTTTCAGTTCTGTTCTGTCTTATGGGGTCAATTCGTTTTTTGTCAACAAATTAATTGATTAAGCGCGAGTGTGCTCTTTTTGAGTTTTTGGATGGGTAGGTGAGCACCAAGACATCGTAATTTTCGAAAATATATCAGCCGACAGCTTACCGGATCAAAGCGAAAACGATCCTCATTCGGCATGCCCTGCGGATACTGGCCGGGGGGATTCCTTCCTGGATAGTTGGCACCAAATCCGTTCGGCTGGTAATGGCCATAGCGTCGATCGTTGAAGGTGTAAGTTCTGCAAATATTCACCATAAGTGAGACAATAATTAGGATGAACCAATGGGCTGACTCGCCTGTAATCCGGGTCCCCTGGATTGGGCCAATGATAGTCGACGCCGGGGCGCGAATAGAATCTGGGATCTCTCGTCTGTCCCCCAACCAGTGGGCCCAGGGAGGCCACAACCAGAAAGAGAATGGCTGTGAGCCACTTCGATTTATCGCGATATTTCAGCTTGTGCATCATGGTGGACTGAAATAAACAATTTCAAAGTTATGTATATTATACGTTCTCGACTCGACATAGTCTCCGCAATAATACATTTGCGGGGACTATGAGAATATAAACAAATGTAACGAAAAACAAATATCGGTGCGGAGTAAGAGTGAACAAACTGGTTTTGCATTACGTCGTTTGCTTGGCTCCATCGCCGTCTCCAATCTCCACGCTCCGATGTTAGAAGAAAACCGAGAGACCGAGAGACCGACAAACCCGTTTCAAAGATGGATAGAAAAATGCTCTAAAAATAAGTTACAGCATAAGACGCGATTTTAAATTGGAGCTCTCCAACTCCGGACAGCAGTGGGGAATGTGCAGTATGGGAGTTTCGAGTTTCGAGCTTCGATGGAGCCGACCGACCCATTGCACTGGCGATTACGTGCATTGTCTGGGGCGCTGGAAATGGCGTCAATGGGTTAATTGTTATGGAGTGAAGGCGAAAGGTCATTGCTTCAAATTGGCTCAAGTCGAATGGAGAGGGGACAGGGCGTCGGAGACCATAATCGGATTGTCGCCGATTGTGTGGAGAATGATTGGGAATTCAATCAAATATTTGTATGATAAAAGTGGAAGTCATAAGGATTATTCATTAAAGATTCTTCCCTAACCAGTAAAGTCTAAAACAGTCCTAGAAGATATCTCGATAATAGATAGCAGAACAGATACAAAGCCACGATCCTCTAGCATAGCAACCATATCCACCGGCTACTGAGGGGAACCCAAGGGATAAACAGTGCCGCTCAAAAGTAAAATCTGTATATAGTGATATCTTTTCGACCAAATTGTCGATTTTTATGAAATAATTGTTTATTGATCAAGATTGTGGTTGTTTTTCCATTGAAATATGTACAGCTGCGCCGAAAAAAATAGCACCAGTGGACTAATGTGTCTATATTGACGGATTTTGCTTAAGCAATGGTTCTAATGAACGTTGTTAAGACTATTATATAAACTTTATGGTATAATTTATCGTATCCCAGAGCACTGGCATAATTCGCAAACTCCAAATGAAAATATTTGAAAAGAGAAGAATTTTATCAGAAATTTGGGCACCAACAAAAATAGCACCAATTACAAAGAAATCAAAAAACTATAAAATACAAGGAAACTTTCCAAATTTTTTTGTAAAATATGTTTCTTTAGTTGTATTTAAAGGTTGGCGTTTTGTTGTAAAACCTTTGACAGCAACAACAGCAGCTCAGCATATTGGCATTAAAGCTCACCTCATTTTCGCATCTTTTCCTTGGGATATTGATCCACGAACCATGCAGAATACCCCAAACATGTTTAATGTTCTTTGATTCCGCATTAGAAACATATTTTTTAGCTTGACCCAAAACATTAGCAATGGGGTTCACGTCTGGAGACTGAACAGGCCAATCTATTGCACTAAGTGAATTGTGCTCGAACCACTTTCGAGCTTTCTTTCTAGTTCGTTTTGGGTCATTTTCCTGCTGGAAGACACAAAACAACTCTCTTTCGTATTCTGCATAAAGCAGAATCACTGTTTCTTTGGTATTGACATAGACATGTTGATCCATAATGGGGTTGTGCCATGTATTGGTTCACCTGCCTAGTACGAAAATCATGCCCATACGATTTTGCTTGCTTTTCTATGTCTAATGAATTTACATGTGAGTCAGGGGGTTGTATTCTGCATTCGGTAGTCGTTTCACACAAGAACAAGACCCTTTTACACCAAAAAATAAATTTTGGCTTTATTCGGACCACAGGATGTTTATCCATTTTTCTTGGCTCAACTTTAGTGCTATTTTGCATACCAAACTTTTTTTGCCCCATGCCTTTCCGTGAAAAGTGAAATTTTCCTCGTACTACGAGTACCCATTTTACGTTCTTGTATACAAGATCTAACTTTCCTGGTACTTGACGATTTTTTAAGATCCTTGCTTTAGCTCTGGTGCCGACTTAAATGGGTCCTCCTTGCTCTCACGAACCAGTAGTTTTAGCAGAAATGGGGATATCGCGGCCTTTCTTGCACGTGATTCTTGTTGGAAACATATTTCTAAGGATTGCCAAACATTTCTTTCGAACAACCGACAATTTGCCCCACCTTAGCATAGGTCCTGCCTTCTGAAATGAAAGTTTTGATCCTTTGGCTTTTTTCTTCACTTTACTGCTTTCCAAGACCCATAACTACTTAAATTTTGTAACTTTCTTGTCACAATCACCTGAAGCCACCGATTTTTAATTCGATCAAGAACTTAAAATATCAAGAAGCTCAGAAAAGTAGAAGCTTTTACATAAAACAGTTACTGGTGCTATTTTTGTTGGTGCTCTATTTCGCTCTTCTTTCGCAAAATTGCCTAATGTTATATGAACCGTTAGAATTGAGAGAGTAAGAACACTTCTCTCAGAGAGGAGACATATAAAGCTACATTATATTGCAGTAAAGTCCAGCAAATGTTGGACAGTGGTCTTGTTTTGAACGCATAAAGACGGTCGTCCCTACTGGTGCTATTTTTTTCGGCGCCACTGTATGTGGTTTCGGTAGAATGTCAGGAAAGTGCTTTTAAGTCGTAACTATGTTGAGGAACAACTTGATTTGATTTTCATTTGGACATGCCAAGCAATACAAATATATTAACACACAAGAAACGAAACAATGGAATGGTACACTTTAAACACTTTCGCGACTCACTGTACTTCCTGTCTGCAACCCAAAACAAAAAGTGGGAGAACGAACCGAGACACCTGGCTGTCCAAAAACGGTTAAATTCGAATAGCATTTTGTTGGTGGCACTTGATTGGCAATGCCGGGCCACATGCCGTGGCAGGCGATGTCGATGCCCCTCCGTTGCATGTAAACTGGCACAAGGACTCACACAGATGCATGCCACTTTCAATGTGTATGTGTGTGTGTGCGTGCAGTGCATTAACCTGGTGCAACACTCGTAAGATGCCTCAAGTTACGGAGCGCAGCGGCTCGGTTACTCAACCCCAATGTCCAATGTGGAAAGAAGATTCTTATTAAATTTACGGAAGTGCAAACGCCTGCAGAAAAGTGCCGAAAGTGCCGAGTTTTGGTTTCAAATGAGACTTGCGGGAGTTTTCATATCGGATTTCATGTCGTAAGCAACCGACTTGTTGTTCTGTTCCCATAGCGAGGGAGGGGTGGTTGTTATTGCAGCTCTGCTCGGTTGTTCGGTTGTTCGGTGATTCGTTATTCGTTCTTCGTTGCTGGGTGAATCATTTGCAGTAGTTTTGCCTTTTTCGCAATCCCCAAAGCAAACAAAACCCGTGGAACGCACCGATAACGCTGAAAGTGAAGCGCAGGTGTACGTGTATGCGTATCTAGAAGTACGAGTACGGGATGTCTGCATCTGTGTCTATCACTGTGTGTGTGTGTTGGCCCACTGATATTGATATTGATATTGTTGGTGTTGTGGTTGTGGTTGTGCGCTACCTTAATCTCACTTCTCTTACAGTTATGCTCCAATTGATGACGTTGCCGTGGAAACTTGTTGCTGGCTGGCTGGTCCGCAATGCGAGTGTTTTCACTATCTAATCGCAATTTTCAAGCATTTCCATTCAAATGTTTCACACACAAGCAAAAAACCACGAAAACTTTCATAGCCAACGCCCCGAACGGGGGGGGGGGAAATCAAATCAAAAAGTAGTGCTCAAAAACTTCAGCCAGCAAGAAACAAGAAAAAAACGTAACGCAGGCCGCCGCTCGCAGCCGAAATGACCGTTTTGAGTCAGAGATATACTCGTAGTCCAGGTAGCCAGCCGAACGTAATGCCGTCAAAACGGGCCAAGAAGCAGTCTCACTCTCTCACAAACACACACACAAACTCTGACGTTGCGGCTTTGTTAACACTCTCACATACACACTCAGACACGCTTGAACTTGTTGTTACCAACAAATCGGTTGACTCACACGAACGACACACCTGAGTGCGACTGAGGTACTACGGAACGCGCGCAGCTTGGGCTTGCAACCATTCAACCGACCGCTCTCCCATTCAAAATTCGAATGAATCCACGCAACAAACCTGCACCCACGAGCACTCAGTAGTTGAGTTTTCTTTGGGTTTTGTTGTAAACTTTTTTTAAATTTGAAAAATTTTCCCGCGCTACACAACCGCACAGCTCAAAAGTTGCGGTGGTATGACCGAATACCGCTATCGATACTATCGACTAAGCACGAGAGAGAAATTGTTTGAAAGTGAATGATTGATACAAATTTAAACGCAAGTTTCTATACTCTATGTTCTTTTATATTCCCTTAAAAATGAAATTGATGAAATATACACCGTAAATATACTTGCAGCTCAATTTAGTCGTCAAAATATACCTATGCCCACCCTACCTGACATAAGCATACCATGCGCCCACTTCCACTAGCATGTTAAGAGCCGATAAATTTGAATTTGAGTTAACTAATTTTTTTATATTAATGAAAAACTATAAATTAAGTCATGGCCAAACTGTACTTTTACTTTATTTTAACCTCTCAAATTTTTAAACATTCATTGGACTACTTTGGCTATGGGTCGAAGTCGCCATTACAATATGGCGAAGCAATTTGGAATTTGAATTCTTGCATAAGACAAATAATTTATTTACATAATATTCCTTCTTAAAAAGATAAAATGACATGTCTCCACAACAATTGGGTGGGAAAACGCCCAAATCTGTGGGTCATTGAGCAACTGGCTAGCTGCTGCCTTGCAAATCAGGTGATTCATTCTGTTCAAATTGTTTTCTAAAATTTAGTTACAAGTCTCCTTATTGAGGCAATTGAGTGTCGTTTCCTGTGATGAGAGATTTTTGCATAATTTCTAATAAATTTCTATTATTACTAGAATTTTTGAACCAGTGACGTTGCATTGTGATTCATGTGCTGTGGCCCGAGCCGGGCAGACAATTAAAGATCAGTTCACATTTTGACCCCAACTTATTGAATGGAAGATGCGGTCGGTCTGCTGTTGGGCGTAGCTGCTGCTAATTGTAATTATAACAGAAGACGACGGCGGCGGCGGCTATGCTTCCGATGTCAGAGATGCGGGAAGCAATTAAAGCACTTGAGGATGGACACGCTTTGTTTACAATTCTGACCCTTTCATTATTAATGAAGTGCTTAAGTCAATTATGCTTAAAAAGTACTTAGGGACACTAAGATCAGGGGCAGCAATCAATTTATATTGACGGTTCTTCTTACATATTATCAAGGTTAAATTTGATACTACAGGCTATTGGACCGAAATGAAATCTGCAGAGCGCAGATTAATAAACCATGAAACGGCATAGAAACGGTTATAATTTTGTGTTGGGAAGTAGGAAACCAACGTTTCCTGTTCATCAAGAATGTACAAATGTTTAGAAATTGGTGTCAATGGACTTAAATTATTGCGCCAACATAACGATACTTATCGCTTTGTAGTCATCGAGTATTATTTTCGTTTAGTATCGGTGCCGTGGTATCGACTATGCATACATCTGGCAGCCCTCAAACTATCAGCTGTTTTCGAAGCGAAAAAATCTGAACTCAAACAAATTTGAAGCAAACGGAGCAAAACAAGTGTTGACTGCAAAAAAAGTCTACCAGAGCCGGATTGCAATGGAGCCGCCATCGACGGGCGGTGTTACAGCCGCTGGCAATAATACCACACACAAATTTCATCCGTGCGACGAGGCAGTGATAGCGACCAACGACGATGCCAGCGATTGCAAGCGATGCGCCGTCCGCATGGGCTATTGGAAGGACGACTACATTGGGTACTTTGTGCGGAACCAAGAGCGGAAGGCTCCAGAGATAAACCGTGGCTACTTTGCCCGCGTCAAGGGCGTCGAGATGTGCGTGGAGAAGTTCCTGAAGGTCAGTGTTTGACTGCACTTGCACTTGCATGCAGCATACCATAAGCCTTAACTGCAGCTATAAATAACGTGACATGCGCAGGGGTGTGGTGTGGCTGTGTGCCACGGCGCCCAGCTGTCTGGCGCATGTTAAGGTCAAGTGCCATGGCGAGTCCGCCAGTCCGCATCCTGTTGCACGTCTCGTGGCCAGAAGAGCTGCGCATGTCCTGTCTATGCTGTCCATGCTGGTCACGCCCCGACCTGACTGTTGGCCTTGCACTAAACACTCCCAGTTCATTGCAGAAAACCTCTGGAAACTGCCAGATCATCAATCTGGGCTGTGGCTTCGACACACTCTACTTTCGCCTGAGGGACACGGCGCACCAGGTGAAGAACTTCATAGAGCTGGACTTTCCCACGGTCACGGCTCGCAAATGCTATACAATCAAACGCAACAAGGCCCTGCTGGCAAAGATCCACGATGAGGACGGCGAGGTGCGCCTCAGTCCCACCGATCTTCATGGCCCCAGCTATCATCTGATGGGCGTCGATCTGCGCAACCTCGACGAGGTCGATAATAAGCTGCAGCAGGCCGAGGTGGACTACACGCTACCCACCATCTTCCTGGCCGAGTGTGTTCTGGTCTACATAGAGGCCCAGAACTGTCGCAATCTCCTCAAGTGGATAGCACAAAAGTTCCAGGCCGCTGTCTTTGTCAACTACGAGCAGGTTTGAGCACATCCAGATTAGATTCTTCGTATACCTGTAACAAAAGTGATTCTCCTCAGGTCAATATGAACGATCGCTTTGGCGATGTAATGCTCAACAATCTGCGTAGTCGCGGCTGCAGTCTGGCCGGCGTCGAGTCCTGCCTGTCGCTGGAGACGCAAACCAATCGGTTCAAGGACTGCGGATGGAGTGGAGCACGTGCCTGGGACATGGTGCAGGTGTACGAGAGCATATCCTCGGCCGAGCGCCAGCGCATCGAGCGCCTGGAGATGCTCGACGAGGGCGAGCTCCTGCTGCAGCTCTTCCAGCACTACTGCCTGGTGGTGGCCTGGCTGGGCGTGGCCTTCCAGGATTTAGATATCACGTGCGTGCAAGTGTAAAAATTCGTATCTAATATGAAGCCTTCACAGAGTGCCTGCCTCAAACAGCTGCTAATCTGTATTTATTTCTTGATTACCACAGGGTGGAGGAGCTCATGTCCTCCCTGAACATTGACTAATGGAAGGAGAATATGGAAGAGCGTGAAGCAATGCATTACTTCTTGTCTGTATGGCGTCTCTGCTTGCTGGCCCAAGGGTGCAGCCATGCCAAAAGTTTTTTCCTCTCAACGTGTTATTGAAAAACGAAATTGAAACGCAATCGTATTTAAATATTTATCACCAACCACACAACCAACCGTGCATGTGCATTGTTTATTTCTAAATTCCCAATTGTTCCTTAATCATTTCGCAGCTTGTTAAATTATTTGTACTCTAATCATTTCGCTCTAGAAGTTTAGCATTTTTCATTTTAAAATCTAAATCTAACCCCAGAGATACACACATACATATATGCACATAATTATCTGCTCATTCCCCACCATTCTGTGTGCGTTTGCAAAAGTGTAAATGTTATTTGAAATGAATTAAACCAAAAATATAATTGGAAAACCGAACAAGAAACAATCTCCAATCGAAGACAGTGTCTCAAAATGAGTTTATATATGTGCATACATAGAAATATAATTTTAAGCGCCCACTCTTTGTTCATGGAACTCCCTGCCAATCGATGTTGTAATAAGCCTTAAGGTTTAGTTCATCGTCTAGTGTGGGCTGGCCCAGCACCAAGGGACCAAGCTGCTTGTCATCCATGATGTCCGTCCAGAACTCCTGCAGTCTCTTCGCCACGACGATCTTCTTCAGCTCCTCCGTAAACTTATCGTACTCCAGGAACGCATTGAAGTCGAGACAGCTCTGCCTGTACAGTGAAATGAGCTCGCCCAGCTGCTCCAGGTTGAGCTTCTTCCGCTCGAGAAGAGTGAAGATAACCACACGGACTTGGGCGGCCAGCGTCTGGAACTGGGCATCCCTCCGGGTGACATTGCTGATGGAGCGGATACTTGCCAGGATGCGCGTGTAGTCTTGGGCGGATGCGACCAAGCCCACGCCGTCCGCTGGCATGGGAATTTCCTTCTCTTGGGGCTCGTCCTTGATGGGGAGAGCATTCTCCGCCTGCTCCTTGGCCTGGAGCTTCTCCAGCCAGGCCCTGCTGTGCTTCAGTGGGAAAAGCTTCTTCACGGTGGACGCTGCTTGCTTGGATTTCTCTTCCAGCGCCTCGGGGACACTCCAAAAGACGTCGACAAAGTTCTTGTCCTTCAGCATTTCCTTGAACTGCTGATCATCATCACGTAGCGATCCTTCCTTGATCACCCTCCGCTCCAGCACATCCATCACATTCTGCTCAAAGATGCTTGGCAGGCTATCAAATGGCAGAAGATCATTCTGACGCCACTGGCGCGGCTGATGAGTGTTGCTGAGGCTGCACTCAAGGTCGGTGCTGTCGATCAGCCTGTCGATGGCCTCCAGCTGCTCTTCGCTACACTCCGACTTGGTAGTGCGCAGCGAAGGAAAGTCCCAGAAATGGTGCTGCGACGTGTAGGAGAGCTCCAGCATGTAGAGCATGGCCGGATGGCTGTCATCCGGCAGTTTCGGCAGCAGAATCACCATTTTAGGAGTGTTCAACTTCGGGCTGTAGATCTTCCAGCAGAGCATCGCATGGTTGCTGCTGTCCAGAGCCCTCACCAGGGCATCCAGTTTGTTGGCCGACACTGTACTCCCCTTCTGGTGGGCCACCACGTAGAGCGAATCTCCAGAGAAGTACTCATCCGGCACCGAGTCCCGCTTGATGAATCCAAAGAAGTGCAGACCAGGCGGATGCGGCGCTTTCGGCTCGAGCAGCGTATCATCATAAGGGACGGCTGTACCGCCCAGCATGTAGCCGGTCATAAGGTCTTCGGGCAGGGGCGTCACCTCGGCGCCCTTCATGAAATGGTGCGTCTCACGCGACACTTCCTCATCGGACACGGCCCAGACCCTCTTCAGCTTGACGGGCGTTTGATTCTTCATGGCAATCATGCCCTGCACATTGATACTGATCTTGCTGCCGATACACAACGTGGAGTTCCACGACCACGGTCGTCTGTTGGTCACCCTGAAGACCGTTTGCAGAGTCTCCTTGAAGCTGCAGAGCGTGGCATTGCAGCGAGGGACGAGATTCAGGGCATACTTCTGGTTCTCCAGCTCCTCGGCAGTGCACTTTCGCGAGAAATTGAATATAGCCTGGGGTTCTCCGCTCTCCATGTTGTCTATGTAAGCAATGTTGTGGGAGCTATCACAAAGATGGGAGTTGATACGGTCGAAACTTCGAGAGGACAACTAATGAGTTCTCACCCTACAATTAATTCGATGCCAGAGTTCAGCAGCTCGTCGGTGATTGAATTGAACTTCTCATAGCTCTGTGGCATTGAATTGAAGTCAAACAGAAGCAGTATGCGACGTCTGGCGGGCTTCAGCCTATCAGAGATCAGGGATGGATTATTGGGAAGCAGAAAGGCAAGGAGTCAAGCTTACGCCAGGGCGTTTTCCTGCATGTCTAGGGCCACCTTAATCCCGTCCAGCCATTCGCCCTGCTCGCAGGCGGTTTCATTTACAAATGTAAATAAGTCCAGCAACAGTTGCCAGCTGCATAGCTGTACAGACCCCTCCTTGAAGTATATCACATTTTGGCAGTCGTCCGTGTTTTTAGCGCTGCCTACCAGTACAAAAGAGACATAGTCCTTGCTGCTGCACACAATCTTATCCTTGAGTATTTCGGCCACACACTTCACCGACTTCAGTTTAAAATCCTCGGCAGCGCAGGTCCGTACATCCAGCACAATAACCAGACATTCCTAGGAGACAAATGCAATGTAATATGAGAAAAAACGGGGTTCCAGCTAATTTGTACCTTGTTAGTGGCCATTATCTTGGTTTATATTTGTAAAATCTGAAATATTAGAAAAATTCTTCGAAATAGAAGGCGCAATTTCACAATAGAGCAGTGTGACCGCGGATTTATCGATCAAATATACCGTCCGACCCTTAGAAATATACCGAAACATACCGTCTTATTTTAGAAATATACCGTAAATATACTGTATTCGTGGACGTTGACATGCAATGACTGCATCTTTCAAGAGGCGATGCAGTTACTGCACCGTCAAGTGGCCCGTGTGACACCAGCAGAAGGTTGTTACGCGCGGATCCCAGGCAAAACGCAGCCCTCCTCCCGCCCAACCGACCGAGGGGCGCTGCCGCATGACGCGCGGTGCGTAGCCGAACCAAACGCGAACATGCAAGAAAGATAGCTATTAGACTAACATTCGAGGAAAATTAGTACTAAACTTACTAAGAAACTAAGCATGCAATCAAAATACAAATACCACTACAGTTACTAATTAATAGAAAGGTGTGTAAGGATTCATAATTTAATAAGAGGAAGAGAATTAGTGGTGGATATAATATGGTAGAGGGAATTATAATCCGAGCATAAGACCCTAAACGGTTCATGCAAGGAATAATTCGATCTACAAAGTGGAAGGAACAACGGTATAAAATTTCTAGTCAGTCTAATAGGAATTGTGAAGTTTATGCGGCTCAACTGATCAGGGCTGTCTATGTCACCCCCGATCAAGTTGTGCATAAATATCACACCAAGCATTTTTCTACGGTTAACTAAGGATGGGAGGTTTACTAATAGTAGTCTACTAGAGTAAGATGGGAGTCTTATACCCGCATCCCAGTTAAGGCCCCGCAGAGCGAGGGGTAAAAAGTTTTTCTGTACTGATTCTATACGATCCTGGTGTACTTTGTACTGAGGGCACCATACACAGGAGCCGTATTCTAAAATCGGACGAACTAGCGTAGTATAGAGAGTCTTTGTTATATAGGGGTCGTCAAATTCTTTTGACCACCTCTTTATAAACCCAAGCACGCCCATGGCATTATTTACTATGGTAGAAATGTGTTCGGAAAGCTTTAACTTTGAGTCTAATAAGACACCAAGATCATTCACCAGGGTAATTCTCTCAAGAGAACCGCCACATAGGGTATAGGTAGCCAACAAGGGGCTAGAACGATAAAAAGTCATTACTTTGCATTTCGAGGCATTAAGGTGTAACAAGTTTGCACAGCACCAAGACTGAAAGTTATTGAGATCGGATTGCAAGCGAGAATGAAAAGAAATGTCCTTATACTGGACACAGAGTTTAACATCATCCGCATACATAAGTACTCGAGAGTATGTTAATACCGAAGGCAAGTCATTAATAAAGAGTGTGAAGAGTAAGGGGCCTAGATGGCTGCCCTGTGGTACTCCCGATGAAACCTTTACTGGTGAAGAGAGGGAGTTTTTGAAGAGGACTCTTTGAGACCTGGAACAAAGATAGCTGGAAATCCATCTCAGGAGGTTGGGCGGAAACCCTTAAAGGTCAAGTTTATGTGCTAGAAGGGAATGGTTGTCGAATGCTTTACTGAAGACGGTGTAAATAACATCCGTCTGTAAGTTACCAAAAAGATCGGCAATTGCCTGATCATTATTTGCCGACGTATTACAAAATGATAGCGAGGATGGGTGTGCGAGGATGGGTGGACATTCTACGCTTACTGTTTACGAAGCAGTAAAACTGTTTAGGGTCCTGAGAAAAACGTATCCTGCATCGACATAGGTAGTTCTTATAGCATTGTGCATTAAGAACTGACAAGTTTAACCGAGCTATTACATAGCGAGAGTGAGAAGTAGGAAACCCAACTTCCTGAAATTTTTTATAAAGTCTTGATTTTAAGTTTTTTAGGCTGGATAACTCTTTGGTAAACCAAGGGGGTTTTCCAGATCTAATCGGACAAGAAAGCGGGACACAAGAATCAAAAAATGTGCCAAGAGCATTGTAAAAAATGTTTGTGCCTTTTGTGACATCAGTGCACAAGTACAAAGCGGACCAATCAAAATCCCTAATTAGGTTATTAAGCTTCGCAAACTCGGCTTTACGAAAGCAGCGGTCCAATACAGTTGGTCCTATATCTAGCGACACCTCGAAAGTAGGGTGGTAGGCGTCTTCAGGTATAGTGAGCGGAAGGGCTCGGGTTAACAACACTATGGTCGGATCCGATACAAAGCATAGATCAAGCAATCGACCCAAGGAATTTTTCACATGATTGACTTGAGACAGGGACAGGTCAAGCAAGCCGTCAACAAAGTCATGTCGTGACATGGGCATTAGGATACTAGACTCGTTTACCGAAGACCAAACAGTTCCTGGCAAGTTGAAGTCACCAAGAACTATCATACGATCTTTATCAGATAGCGAGGAAGAAACAGCGGTTGAAGCGGACAAGTGCTGCTCATAAATTGAGATATCCGAAGAAGGTGGGATATACGAGCAAGTAATGAATATAGCGAAAGCGGGAAGAATCAGTTTTACACACAGGAATTCCAGTTCCTGTTGAACTTGGACTGTGAAGTGTTCTGACGTGAAATAAGAGTCCACTGCAAATAGAACCCCTCCTGCACGTCGAGACGAACGGTCCTTTCTAAAAGTTGTGTACCGACCTGCCAAAACCTCGGAACTAAGAATGTCCGGCTTTAACCAGGTTTCAGTTAACACAATAACGTGGGAAGCAAATGCAACACTATCCCGGAAAAGAATGCTGAGCTTACTACGCAAGCCTCTTACATTCTGATAGGTTACTAAAAGAGAAGTTAGTTTTTTGGAAAGGTGGAAGCAAGACGGGAAGTTGAGGAAGAGGAAGTTGAGGTTGAGGGTGGCACACTGGAAAGATTTGGAAGGGGGGCCTATTCTTCTTCTTAGCCTTAAACTCCTTCACCACCAAATGCTCCGGCCAAAATTTGGCGGAGCAAATGGCGTCAAATTGAGTTGGGGAGATGCTTATCTTAAACGAGGCTGTCTCCCTGGCATAAGAGAAATTGAATTTCTCCACCTTTAAACACACGGCTTTTATTTTGCTTTGAATGAAAGCAATTACATCATTAGATGTGAGGTCAGGGGCCAGCCGTGAGACAAAAACTTGTCGTTTTGGTGGGACTCCCACCAGTGGTTTGGGCACCACAGGCCTAGTACCTGTGGTGGCAATATCCGGAGGTCCGGAACGTCTATTTACTGGTGGGATCGGGATGGACGGGACAACTAGCGAACTTGCGGACACCACGGACACTGACGCTGCAGACGTACTTGGCTGCACATTCTCCGAGGCGATGAATTCGGCTACCGAATCTGCATCGCCAGCAGCTGTCGTTGCCTTTGGAGTGGCAAACGAGATCAACTGCTGCACACTTGGAGTGGTCGGAGTCAGTTTTTCGGCGGCGCACGGCTGAGTGACGGTTGGCACTTGCAGATCCCGCGGAGTGACCTTTTTACGCCTCGGAGACTCATACAGCAATTGCAGACTGCCAAATTGAGACTCAATGGCGAGGAGCCGATCGTATTGCTTTTTAAAGCCAACGGTCGGATCCTTAAAGCCCACCGCACGGCATGCCTCGCAACTGTAATGCAACCCATTACGTTTGGCTATAGCATCACTCACGAGGCCAGAAAATCCAGCGCATGTTTCGTGCACTACGCTGTCGCAGAGCCAGCAGAGGACATTCGGCTGATCGTGGGTGATCTGCTTCTTTTTTTTTTGGTTTTTTTGGCGCAGGCCACAGCGTATTCCATTTTTTATTATTTATTTATTTACTAAAGAAAATTTTCGAAAAAAGATAATTTCCAAAACAGCGAGAGGTACTAAGCAGAGAGCGCTATTGCTCAGAAAGTTTAAAGAGATAGAGAGAAAGAAGAGTTATTGAAGTTGAGGTGATATCGAGAGTGATAAAACAAAAGCACAAGACGAGAGACGAGATCTTTAATGCAATGTAATGTACTCACGGCAACAACACAAACACAACAAGCCGACGACGACAAATTTGAAATTCAATAAATAATAATTAAACAAAAATCAAGAGGCATGCACTCGCGGAATAGAATAGATTTCCAGATAGTGGGTTGGATTAGGAAGGTATTTGATGTTTATTTATGAAAACACCGGTTGTTTATGTAAAACAAAGGGAAAATATGCGGAGCGCAAAACAAAAACGCGTCTGATCTACGAAAGAGAACGAACCATATACTGAAAGGAAGCGATCCTGGCTGGGGTACTGTAACGCTTGGATCAGCCGAGAGATTTGGATCGCAGCGCAGTCCCAAGACCGGCCCGGATCGGCTTCGAGGATGCAAAGACGCCGAGGCGTCGAGGTTATCGATCGCCCAAGGGACGCCAAAGGGGATCCCGAGGAGCCGCAGAAGCAGCAGAAAAAGTTTATATGCCCAAGTATACGAGCACAAAAAACACTCCGACGGCAGTTGAGTGGTTTTTGGGGGAAAAAGAAAGCTAAATCTTGCAGTTCGAGAGCAAGCCAAGCTAGAGCGCAACAAAGCGAGTGAGCCCATCGTCGGAAACAGTCCGATTGCGGAAGGGAAAGACTATAGAGATCGGGAAGGCAGAAATCTGCAAAAATAATATGTTGTGATGTTATTTATTTATTTATTAAATTAACAATTATCTGTTAATAATGGTACTTAGTTACTAAAGGCGGAAAAAGATAAGTTAAAAGTTAGCTAAATTTAAATGATTATAAATATTGCATGCAATTAGTTTAAGAGACAGTTCAGGGGATAGGGTTTGACAGAGGGAGTTATAATTATGGCATAAAACCCTAAAAGGTTCATGATCAGCATAATTAGACCTACATATGGGTAGACGGATAGGCCTAAAAGTACGGGTAGGTCTAGATGGAACGGCCAAGTCAATCTGACCCAAGAGAGTTTGGGAGTCAACAGTCCCAAGAAGGAGCTTGTGCACGAACATTACGCCATTGCATATTCTGCGATGGTGCAACGACGGCAGGTCAATAAGATTTAGCCTAGACCGGTAGGGTGGCAAGATTCTACCTGAGTCCC